ATCCGTATCCTACGAATCAACTAAGTCTGAAAACCATCAAACAGGTCACTTCATTGGCAAAATGCAGGTTCAGATATCTCACGGATACTTCCCAAAATAGACTTTCTTATGAATACTGTTTAAAATATTAGGCTGGTTACAGCTAACACTGCTTGTGTAACTGTATACAACACAAACAAAAAATAATTCTGAACATAAGAAAGGAGGTTGATCCCAACTTGTTTTAAGATTTTGTACACTAGTACCCAGTGTCTGAAATTAGCCAGGCACATTTTGCACCTGGCTATCTGCCACTTGCGACCAAGTGAAGATGCCTGGGGGCCAGTATAGCGCCTGACATCTCTGCCATCTGGAGGTGCATGCCTGGGGATCATTGGATCTTGACTGTTTTCACACACTAATACCACATCCTGTAGAATTCTATCCATTATATTGTATCTGCACAATCAGAATGAATTTCAGGAACCAAAATTGTAGCTTGTCTTCACTTACCCCACCCCACTGCCCTGCTCACAGTGCGATTGTCAAACTTGTTATGGGGGTGTTTCTGTTCTGTTTTTGTGGTATAATTTAAGTTGCTGAGGCCTTCAGGTAACAAGTGACAAACAAGTCTAATAAATCATAATAATACCAACAATACTAGTATTTCAAGGAGCTGGTTTTAACATGTACAGCCTTATACAGCTTGCATCTTATACAGGCCTCTCCCAACAGAAATATACCCAGACCTTATGAGCTCTTTAAATGTTTGCTTACCTGCCTCTCCTCCCCAGGTTGTGCCAATTTCTGGTTTCTTGAAATGGCCAACATCTCAATCAGTTCCCTGAAGCAAAGTTTCCACACAATGGAAAAAGTCAGTTGCAGTTTCTGAAAATTGAGTTACAGCCTTCACTCCTCCACAGTAAATACCAAGTCTAAGTAGAAAGATCCACAGAAACACTACAGTACCATGTCCATGCCACTTATTTTGGCAAAGTCATATCAAAAGTATAAATGAAATACTGCCATCTACAGTATGATAATCCTTGTAATGTTTGCCTCTTATGCAAAGCAAGTATATTAGAACTGTATCAGTTAGTAGTCTTTCAGAGTAAAAGAACTAGGTCCATATTTCTTGACTAGAAAAATGTGGGTTACCATAAGACCCAATTTTCTAGGGTTTGCTTGGATCTCTTTGGGCTAATAACTGGCCTGAAATTCCAGCTTTCAATTTCCTGGCTTGTTACATATTCACTCTGTTAATCTGTATCTCTAAAAACTTGAAAAAAGAAAACAGCCTTCCTGAAAGTTTTGTGGGGAAAAGGCATCTGAAATACATTATGATTGCATATAGTGCACAATCAACTTGTGCAATTTCAACTTTACACAGTTGAAAGCCTGCTCATTGAAACTGCACAAATTAAATACAGTACACACAAGGTGTAGGTGTGGCAAAAACCTAATAGTAAATTGTCCTCTCCTTCTGGTGCAAGTCAACAGGGCTTCAGATACTGAGGATCGTGAATCCTCATCCTCTGTAGCCCTTGGTTTGGATCACTTATTTATTTACTTACAGCATTTATACCATGTCCTTTAGTCAAAAATTGTCTCTTAAAATTTTCTGTTTGGGGTACATATTTCTACTCCATTTCTTAATGGTTCTGATGTGGAGAAGGGGGACTGAGAATGGAGAACTGCCCCAATATCACAAAACAAGCTCTCCCCCAGGGCAAACACTATACTCCTCTCTCCAAAGGCTCCTTCCAGGTGACAAACAAAAACCAACTTGTTCTTCATGCACATACTCATATGGTCCCACTGAACTCAGTGAGTGATGAACCTCAATGAAGATTACTTCTGAGCATGCATGCACAGACTTGGGTTGGCTGCTTTGGAGCCTTTCCACATGTGCAAGTGGACTCCTAAAAAAGTGGATACTAAAAAAAGAGCGGGAGTTAAACTATTTGTATATTTGGGGACCTTGAGACCATTCCTGCATTATCCTAGTCAATTTAATATAAAAACAACCTATTTATTTTTGTATGCAAATCAATCATGAAATAAAAACTAACTAAAAACTAAATAAGATCCCGCAGATGGGTAACAAGGTGCTTTTGATAAAAATCTAAACTATGCAGCAGTTGTTTACATTTGTCTTTTATAAATTTGCCTTCGTGGCAACCTCAGAGCGAACCAGGGTGCATGGCGGTTTCGCAGCTGCCTTCAACTTAACATATAATAGTTTTATATGTTTAACTGGATTTAAAAAATAAATAAATGTATTTCCCCCCTTCCCATGTTGTTGTTTAAACCTGTAAACCACCTTGAGTCCCTTTCGGGGGAAAGAATAAATAAATGAGTTCCTTTAAACCTGCAATAAAATCCTAATAATGATAATAAACAATAAATAACCGCTCCTTTAAGCCTGCGATGTAAATCCTGAGGGAGAACAGGAGCGTCGCCTTGGCTGACCGACTGTAAGGCAGGCAGGCGGGGGAAGCCGCCGCCGCCGCGCAAGCCCCTCTCCCGCCGCCGCCGCCTGAGAGCCGCTGCCCGCGGCTGACCTTCCCTTGGCGACCGACCTGGCGAGGAGCTCCAGGTCGTCCAGCGCAGCCAAGAGCCGCTCGCGGGTGCTGCTCCGCCCTCCGCCAGCCACCGCCGCCATCGCCTCCGCCGAGCGTGCCGCTGACGAGGAGGAGCGAACGACCGGAAGGAAGGGAGCGGAGCGGAGGAGGAAGGCAGCTGGGAGGAAGGCAGACTGGGAGACAGCGCCACCTGGCGGCCCCTCGGCGCAGCACCGCTTCCCCGCCAGGCGCGCGCCAGGTTCCCGCTCCGGGCTCCCTTTTCTTCTCTGCCGGCGGAGCAAACCGGGGCTGCAGCCCCACGGAATCGAGGGGTGGGGGGTGGGAGAGAAAGGGGGTAGCTGTTTTTCTGTGTCGCCCTGAGTTTCGTATTACTGCAACATTTTTATATGCAGCTGTTGTTGTTTTGTAAAATTGGTAACTGTTTTAAGTTGCATTAGTTTTCTCTACGTACATCATGCGTATATTTTTATATTACGTGTATGGAGCTGGAGTAACAAAAATGAATGGGCAGTAGCCAGGGTTTATGTTGGGGAGGGCAAGTTTCATGTTGGGGGCAAACGGGGATCAAACCTGCAACCATAGCACCACCCTCTAACCAACCGGGATAGTAGTAGCATTTCATGTATATTTATTTATAACCCGCTTTTCCAACTTACATATAAAAGTAGGGGAGGCGGTTAACAATCATAAAAAATACAGTTTGCTGCACAATTACAGATACACTAAGATGTCTCATAATGTACCTGGACTGCAAATAATCTCTTCTGATATATATCCCTTTATACAGAGTAATAATCTACTAGCAAGACAACACATTTTGCATAGCCATTTTGCCATGATTCAGACCAAAGGAGGAGCACACATTAAATAAAATTTAATAAATAGTAATAAATCTATGGCCTTCAAAATGTGCTTGAAGGGGGTTCGGGTTTTTTATGTATTTTGGGTTCTCATTTTGTATTATTATGTTGTAAACTACCCTGTATCTTCGGCTGAAGGGTAGTATACAAATTTAATAAATAACAATAATTAACAAAACCAGATGTCAGGATGCTTCTAGATGCCCTGCCTACTGTTTGTGGAGAGATCATCCTGATTTGTTTGTGCAAAGTCAGGCAAAGTTACAGCCAACAAGTGTGATCCCGCACTTTCCAGTGCATTTCCCTGTCACTTTCCTTATTGCAAAAGGTCTCATAATCTTTTGGGGAAATGGGTTTTTTGTTTTGTAAGAGTTCCAAAGCAGCTTTAATTATGCAGCCTCGATCTGCCACCATGTGAGTGAATCCCTCCTGGAAATAGCGACCCTCTGGAAGCGGTCTCAGCTCTGAAGTAGTCCTGCGGCGATGGGGAAAAAGCCGCTGGAGATGTCAGAATAGTGCGGCTGGCGCCGGTGTTGCTGTGTGGACGCTGCGCAAGGACGGAGCAGGAGCCCTGCCGGATGAGGCCGGGGCCGGAGCCTCCCACCAGACGCCTGCGGGGAACCAGCGAGCAGACTGGGCTCGGGAGCATCGGCGGAGGGCGGAGCCTGGTGACCCAGCGACAGACCCGCCCCGGCCCTGCATTCGCCGCCTCCTCTTGGAAAGCCGCCCCGTGGCAGGGAGTTCCGCAGGCTGACTAGGACTCGACAGGCGGCGCCTGGCCACGGCCCAGCCCGCGGAGAGCAGCGGCCCGCCGGAGCCAGCGCGTCTGCGCCCCCCGCCGCCGCGCACGCGCACTGCCGCCGAGGCCAGTCCTGAGGGAGGAGGTGGATCATGGCCGCCTCCATGATGGGCGCCCGGGCGGCGGCGGCGGCGGCGGCGAAGCAGCTGCTGGGCTGGGGCTGCGCGGAGCGGAGCGCCGCTGCCAAGGTGAGCGGGGCCGGGCCTCCCCCTGCTCGCCGCGGAGGGAGGACGGAGCGAGGGGACGGGCAGGCCGAGGCGGGGGCAGCGAGGGAAGGTCACCGGGCGCCCCGCCGACAGGCCTCCGGGGCGGAGCCAGCGGGAGCGCGCCGGGTGCGGGGCAGGGGGCGCCGGGTGCGGGGTCCTTCCAGGGGGAGAGAAAGGGAGAACCCTCGGAAAGGGCGAGGATCGGGACGGGCCTGGCCGGGAGAGGCGCCCGGCCCCGCGCAGGAACCGCGCCTCGCCTCCCCTCGGGGCCGGGGACAGGGAAAGGGGGCTCCGTCTTCGTGTCACCCCCCAAAGTCAGAGAGGCTGCCAGCCAGGGCTGACATATTTGCAGAAGAAGAAAGCAGTTAACCGGTCATCGCGTACTTTGGATTTCCTTTGCTTTCTTAGTGATCATTCTTCACCTTTAGAGCTTGTATTTCTGAGGGTCTCACATAAAACAGATGATGCTACTATTTCTGTTGGAAGCATTTTCTCAACACATCTCAGCCTCCCACCATCCTGCCTGTGTGATATTTATTTATTCAGAGCGTTTGCTCCCTGCTCCTCAGCCAAAAAGGCTCCTCGCATGGTTTACATACAGTCAAAGAACAAGACAGTTCCTATCTGTAGACTTAACAATCTAAAAAAAGCAAAAAGACACAAGAGAAAAGGATCAGCGAGGGAAGAGCACCAGTTTCTAAAGAGCTGTTCCCATCATGACCAGCTGGCCCAGTTCAAGGGGCAGGAGGTGCCCGAGGGAGCTGGGCCTCTAGCAAAGTGGGTGAAACGAGCCCTGCTTCCCTGGGTGACAGCTGAGAGGGGACCTGGTGGGGCTGGGCTGTCACAGCAGAGCGATGGCATGAACTCTGACTCTCAGCTCTCCCACTGCTGGAATGTAAGTCCCTGTGTGTCATGAGCTTGAGATGCTGTTCCTCCTGTTTGTAGCAACTTTGTGGAGGCTTTTTTCTTTCTCCATTATTTAGGTTTAATAAATATAGACACGGTGTAATATGTTGTGTGTTGTTCATCTGAGGGTTGTATTTACCTATTTTAAAGTTCTGTTAAAAAACAAATGATTGTTATTATGTCCTGATATGTAAAACCACAGAATTCAAAGAGGTTGTACTTTCTTTTCTCCATGACTATACCTGTTGTGCAGGAACGCGGGTGGCACTGTGGGTTAAACCACAGAGCCTAGGACTTGCCAATCAGAAGGTCGCCGGTTCGAATCCCCGTGACAGGGTGAGCTCCCGTTGCTCAGTCCCTGCTCCTGCCAACCTAGCAGTTCAAAAGCACGTCAAAGTGCAAGTAGATAAATAGGTAGCGCTCCGGCGGGAAGGGAAACGGCGTTTCTGAGCGCTGCTCTGGTTCGCCAGAAGCGGCTTCATCATGCTGGCTACATGACCTGTAGGGAGGTGTACGCCGGCTCCCTCGGCCTATAGAGCAAGATGAGCGCCGCAACCCCAGAGTCGGCCATGACTGGACCTAATGGTCAGGGGTCCCTTTACCTTTACCTTTATACCTGTTGTGCAGGCTGCTGAGTAAGTGTTATGCAGATCTCAAGCAGTCAGTCCCTTAGTACAGTTCTGGGAAATTGGTATTACAGATTGAAGTAAAATGTGTTAGCCTTGGTCACAAACTTTGAAGTATAATTCATGTTCTTAATATCAGAGTTACTGTTTTCTATGTGGCTGTATCTTTTTATTAACTACTGTAACTTTGTGGCTTTTGGTGGTTCTTTTCCCCCTTAATGAATTTTTTGCAATATAAACAGACCCAATACAATGGGACCTATGTAGTAAGCATATCATAAATACAGATTACATAGCTGCTGCTAAAAGCTGTAAATGAAAATGGCAACCAAAATGTTTTCTTTGCCTGTTTGATTTCTTTCTGTTGGATTCTGATACCAGTCAGCGCATGGGTAACCAGCATGGTGCTATATAGATGTTGCTGGACTCCAGTTCCCAACAGTCCTGTCTGTGGGCCATGCTGGCTGGACTGTGGTGCCCAGGGCTGATGGGAGTTGGAGTCCAACAGGCTCTGGATGACACCATGTTAGCTATCCCCAGTTATATGGAGTGGAAGCTCTTCAGGTGATTTGTTTTCCCACTGAATATATGCCATTTCATTAATAGGAATGGGGCTTATTATGTCTGTTCCTGTTTAGAGCTCATGACTCTTTTCACACTGATACTCTTTGTGCCAATTCTTAGTCCACTTTAGCAGTGCTGGCTCAACCATGAACTCAACAATGCTATTAGGCTTTAGTTGAAAATGTTGTGACCAGAGGTTTTTTTTTAAACTTTATTCGCAATAGCCAATGGCCATAGCAACATAAAACAAGTAATATATACAATTAAAAAGACAACAATGGGTAAAAAGGGCAATCAAATGACCAAGATTATCGTTCAGATAGTGGCCCTTAATCTTATTGCACCCTCAATAAAACCTAGCAACCTTTGCTGTTGTCTGATCATTTAGATCTGATAAAAGAAAGAACAATGTAGTCGCAGATGGGCAGCCTGGGATGGTAAGTAAGAGTGGGGTGATGATCTCATTCCTCAGATCTTTATAAAGGGGACAGGACAGTGTTCAAAATTAGCCAGGTGCCAGGCATATTTTGCACCTGATGATCAGCCACTTGTGACCAAGAGAAGCTGCCTGGGCACCAGGATGGTGCCTGATACAGTGGTGCCCCGCAAGACGAATGCCTCGCAAGACGAAAAACTCGCTAGACAAAAGGGTTTTCCGTTTTTTGAGTCGTTCCGCAAGACGAATTTCCCTATGGGCTTGCTTTGCAAGACGAAACGTCTTGCGAGTTCTTGCGAGTTTGTTTCCTTTTTCTTAAAGCCGCTAAGCCGTTAATAGCCACTAAGCCACTAATAGCCGCTAAGCCGCTAATAGGGTTGCTTCGCAAGACGAAAAAACCTCAAGACGAAGAGACTCGTGGAACGGATTAATTTCGTCTTGCGAGGCACCACTGCATCTCCACCATCTGGAGGTGCATGCCTGGGGATCATTGGATCTTGACAGTTTTCATACACTAATACCACATCCTGTAGAATTCTATCAGTTATATTTTATCTGCACAATCAGAATGAATTTCAGGAACCAAAATGCTTGAGCAGGAGCAGTGAACAGTGTTATACAGTAGTTGATTGATGTAGCTTGCCTTCACTTACCCCACTGCCCTGCTCACAGTTGTGAAGAATATACTTGTGTTATGAAACAGAGGCTGGAATAGGCCGATATATATGTGGACTGTCCCTGCATCAAGTGACTTTTCTTTTTTAAGTTTTCTAAGTTCTTATCCTAACTCAAGATTGTCATCTGAACTAGCCATATGTTTAATGGAGTTGTCTTGCCCCCAAATGGCAACTAGACACAACATTTTTAATCTGTGATATTTTACTGTATCTTTGGTTTTTATGGAAGCCGCCCAGAGTGGCTGGGGAAACCCAGCCAGATGGGCGGGGTACAAATAATAAATTAATTATTATTATTATTATTATTATTATTATTATTATTATTATTATTATTATTATTTTGCTTGAAGGAGCCATTTGGCACCTAGCTTATATATCTGACTTTCTATCTGACTGATTGTGACTGATTTAGACTCTAAAGCAGATAATCTGCCCCCAGGCGCACAGTGACAGAAAAGAATGGCATTCTAAAACATATTCATAGAATCATAGAATTGGATGGGACCCCAAGGGTCATCTAGTCCAGCCCCCTACAAGGCAGGAATCTCAGCTAAGGCATCCATGACTGATGGCCATGCACCTTCTACTTAAAAACCTCCAATGAAAGAGAATCCACAACCTCCCATGGGAGTATGTTCCACTGTCAAACAGCTCTTACCGACAGAAAGTTTTTCCTGCTGTTTAGTTGGAATCTTTTCTTGTAACTTGAAGCCATTGGTTCAGGTCAGACCCTCCAGAGCAGGAGAAAACAAGCTGGCTCCATGTGACAGCCCTTGGGATATTTGAAGACAGCTATCATATCTTCTCTCAGTCTCCTCTCTTCCAGGCTAAGCATACCCAGCTCCTTCAACCATTCCTTATAAGGCTCGGTTTTCAGACCCTTGATCATCTTGGTTGCCCTCCTCTGCACACATTCCATCTTGTCAATATCCTTCTTAAATTGTAGTGTCCTGAATTGGTGGTCTGACCAAGGCGGAATAGAGCAGTACTATTACTTCCCTTGATCTTGTCACTAGACTTCTATTGAATGCAGCCTAGAATAGTATTAGATTTTTTTTTTGCTGCTGCATTATACTGTTGACTCATGTTAAGCTTATTTCTGTTTTGTATATTCTAAAATATGATTTGCAATTGCTTTAAGATTGTTAATGTCTCCTCAACCTAATAAGCAGTACTGTGGTACCTCGGATTCAGAACTTAATTTGTTCTGGAGGTCCATTCTTAACCTGAAACTGTTCTTAACTTGAAGCACCACTTTAGCTGCCATCTTACCACCACCGTGCAATTTCTGTTCTCATCCTGAAGCAAAGTTCTTAACCTGAGGTACTGTTTCTGGGTTAGCAGAGTCTGTAACCTGAAGCGTCTGTAACCTGAAGCGTCTGTAACCTGAAGCGTCTGTAACCCGAGGTACCACTGTATTGCTTTGCCATTTTTCTCCCTGTTTGATATATTTCATTATTATTTACATACCCCCCATCCCCTTCATCTCAACCAGAGGGTGAAGCTGCTGTTTATCCCTTGGCTGTGTCACACTAAAAAGATCGTGTTTTGGTTGTTTATATAGTAAAGTATGTAAACTGTAAATAAATGAAGCCTTGTTAAACTGAAAGTCGTGTTCCTATTTTCCTAGGTATTCAGTGGAAGACAAGGTTTGTTTCCTAGCTATGTGTTCCAAGTGCAGCAACGAAGGAGCTTGTCGCTGCATGAATACTTAAGTATGGAACTATTAAAAGAAGCTGGCATTTCTGTTCCATATGGATTGGTTGCAAAGACACCAGAGGAAGCTTACAACATTGCAAAAGAAATAGGTATAGAACTGAAGTCTATAGATGTAGTAAATGTTTTCTTTTTGTTGTTTTTCCCCAGGTAATGCTCCATGCACAAAGTTTTAGAGACTTAATAGGTAGTGGTAAAACTGCTTACATTTTTCAAATTCTTGCTTCTTTCTCAGTTTCTGAGATCCTACAAAATCACTGTAGGAGAGAGAATACCATTCAGAGATTTGTCAGCTGTGAAGTACTTAGATGTACTTTTTGACATTAGTTATGTTACTGACACTTTCCAAAACCCAATTGTATATACTACTAGTCATGCTAATTTATAGCCTGACCCTCTGCTGCATTGCAGGGCTCCATGAATTTTTTAAAAAAAGCATTTTGTCCTCCTTGCTTTGGGGCTATCTCTTGTTCTGGTTCCCTCAGGTAAGGGGTTCCAGAGGCCTACTTGGGGATGCCACATCCTTCAAACACTGTAATATCCTCTACTTCTGACACCATGAGCCAGGGTGAGATTATTCTTGTACTTCAGTACAACAGTTTTGTTTAGGCCCAACATGCTGTCAAAGGCCCCTGTCTTGGCTACTGCACAGGAGCTTTTCATTCTCTTTTCTAAAACCTAGATCTGCCTAGGTTAAAAAAAACCCTCAAATAGTATTTGTACATTATTTAATTTGAAACAATTCTTGTCTACCCTCCTTCTATTCCAGGTACAAAGGACCTTGTTGTAAAGGCACAAGTTTTAGCTGGTGGTAGAGGGAAAGGAACCTTTGAAGGTGGCCTTAAAGGAGGAGTGAAAATAGTATTTTCGTAAGTTGAGCTTCTAATTAATTAACACAGAAAGCAAAAACATTAATAGCCCAGGGGCATTTACTATGCATAACCATTTACTAGAATTATTTCAGTATTTGTATTTTTAGAATGCTTGAAATATTACTTAAACTTCAGCAACTTCATTTTGGGACTTTGATCTCTTTTTGGTATAGTAGATTAGATAACATGGATCTTATGGTGATCTAGTATTTTGTGAATACTATTTTTATTTTATTAGGGGACAGGTCATCCTACAACTCTGAAAAAGAGGCCTGTTTGCCTTTAGAGCATTAATTTTAAGAAGAAATGTTTGTGGGGATAATAAATTAAATTCTTTGGGGAAGCAAACTCTTATCTGACAGAATAATACTTTAATAATTATTTTAATTGTGTAATATATTTTATTCTGTTTAATGTATTTTATTCTGTTTAATGTGTTTTGTTTTGTGATGGCTTTGGCTACACAAATAAATAATATTAATAAATAATATTTATTTATTAGTCCAGAAGAAGCAAGAGAGATTTCCTCCAGAATGATTGGGAAAAAACTGTATACAAAGCAGACAGGAGAAAAGGGCAGAATATGCAATCAAGTGTTTATCTGTGAGCGCAGATATCCCAGGAGAGAGTACTATTTTGCAATAACCATGGAACGATCATTTCAGGTGAGTAGTCTATTTTGAGGAGAAATGCTTTTTACGCCAGTACGTTTCCAAACACAATTCAAAGTGTTGGTGCTGACCTTTAAAGCCCTAAATGGCCTCGGTCCAGTATATCTGAAGGAGCGTCTCCACCCCCATCTTTCTACCCGGACACTGAAGTCCAGCGCCGAGGACCTTCTGTTGGTTCCCTCACTGCGAGAAGTCAAGTTACCGGGAACCAGGCAGAAGGCCTTCTCGGTAGTGGTGCCCACCCTGTGGAACGCCCTCCCACCAGATGTCAAAGAGAACAACAACAACCAGACTTTTAGAAGACATCTGAAGGCAGCCCTATTTAGGGAAGCTTTTAATGTTTGATGCATTACAGTATTTTAATATTTTGTTGGAAGCCGCCCAGAGTGGGCGGGGTATAAATAATAAATTATTATTATTATTTTATTTTAGAGTATAGTGTTTTTGGTTGGGATAAAGACTTTAAAGCTGTCTTCAGAAGGATAGTTAGTAGAGCAAAACATGGATTATACAGTCAAACCTCTGTTCCTGAACAGCTCTGTTTTGGAACGTTTAGGCTCCCGAATGCCAAAAACCCAGAAGTAAATGCTCCGGTTTTCAAATGTTTTTCAGAAGCTGAATGTCTGATGCGGCTTCCAGTTGAGTGCAGGAAGCTCTTGTAACCAATCTGAAGTCGTGCCTCAGTTGTCAAACATTTAGGAAGCCGAAGGGGCTTCCGGTACGGTTTATGTTCAACAACCAAGGTTTAACTGTAGTACCCTAGTTCTCAATCTGGGCAAAATCTTTTGTTTTTGTTTTTCTAGTACGTATTTAAAAAACAACATTCTGCTATCAAACATTGTCAGTGTTATTTACTATAGTATGAAGCAATTAGGTGCCTTCTAGGACATATGAATTGTAAGGTGCTCGGTGACAGAAGTGTTTATTAATGTAAGGTTTTGATTAGATATCTGAGCATCTCAGTTTTTTAGAGGTTTTCTTCTCTGCAGTAGCCTTTAGTAAATCCCCAATAGCTTCTTACCTGTATAAGTTTCTTACCTGTATATGAGTCCTTTCAAGAGAAATACCATGCATGCGTCTGTGACAAGTTCTACAGCAGCCTTTTGGAGTTCTCTTGAGGACAGCAGCTGAAAGGGGCCTTTGCTAGAAAATACTGGGTGCATTTTAAACCATTATCTTTTCTTTTGTGCTTAACAAGAGTGTAAATAAGAGCACAGCTTTAGGGACATGAATAAGATTTTAAAATACTTAGACTTGAATACAATTTTTCATTTTATAGCCTACCCTGGCATAAATGGAGCCAGGCTGGATTATGAGTGGTAGCAAATTTGGGGGGGGCTAACTGGCCGTGGTAGTGGAGAGCAGGAGAGGGGTTCTTCTTTGGCTTCGATTAAAATCATTTTCGCATAAAATGAAAACTACAGAATCTGTTTCAAAGTCTTATCTTACGCACTGCATGTTGGTACTAAACCTCCAATGTCTCTGGTTGTCTCCCAAGAATGAATTGATAACAACATAAAACACTTTAGGAGTTTCCCAAAGTGCTGATCACAACTAATTTCTTCTAAAAATATACTGATTCCTACTGGGGGTAGTGGTGCCCACTTTTTTTAGTAGCTTGTTTCGCTGGCCAGTTGTTTCGGGGGGGAAATATTAGATTTGAGTTCTACTCTGCCTTTCTCTGAAAGTTCACAAGCACATAAATAAGAATTTCTTGTGCAAATGATATAACCACCTTTCCCAACCACATTCATTGGAATATTTTCAGACAGCTGGTTTTTAGAAGGTAGTTAAGATATGATAGCAAGAAAGACTCGAGTCTCCAGGACTGAATTAGGGGGCTGTAAATTTCCAGCTGCCACACCTATAGTTTTTTTATTGACTAATTGATAACCTTTACCTTTCAGTCAACCGGCACTCAAATAGCTGGTTGGCAACCAGGCTATCATAAATGAGTTATTCTGTGTTTCTAGGTTTTTCTAGGCGTATAATTGAACACTCAGTTTCTATGTCGTATCTAATTGTATAGTTTTCATATTCAACCCACAAGTGTGTTACCAAATTACTTTAATATTTTGGGGATTGTAAAAAGACCTTGTTGAAAAGTGTTTCTCTTTTTAGGGTCCTGTACTCATTGGCAGTTCTCAGGGTGGTGTCAATATTGAAGATGTCGCTGCAGAGAATCCTGATGCCATAGCTAAGGAACCAGTTGACATTGTAGAAGGCATTCAAAAGGAGCAGGCCATCAGGGTACTGAAATATGCATTGTTTGTTCCACAACAGCTTCTCTATAACCTGTACACATATGGTCTGTTTAACTAAAAGATATAACACTGGATCTTCAGATTCTTTAATTGTTTGGATTTAGAGTTGTGCAGAGAAAAACCCCGTGGGGTGAATGCTGCTGCAAGTAGAAATGGTGAGGAGGATATTTTTGCTCCTTCCTCCTCTACTCCCCCCGCCCCCACTTGCTCCAGCAGCCTCCTCTGCCCCCAAACATTTGCTCCATAGAGTTTTCACCAGGCAAAAACATTCCTCTTCAATCAGCCCCTGGTTTTTATGATCTAGGACCTTTTAGAGGGGGTGAGATTTTTTAATGTGTTTTTGTTCTTCTTATCTGGTTTTAATTTAAGTTGCTTTGGGTTGCCTGTGGAAAAAGCAACTAATAAAACTAATAAAATAATAAAAAACAATCTAGTCCAACTCCTTGCAATGCAGGAATCTCAACTGAAGCATTGATGATATGCTAAATCTTCTCTGTATTGTTCCAATTTTAGCATATATGCTGCTTGAGCAAGCACAACTACAGCATCCATGACAGTTGGCCATCCAACCTCTGCTTAAAAGCTTCCTGTGAAAGAGAATCCACCAGTTTCCAAGGGAGTCCATTCCAATCTCAAACATCTTTTACTGTCAAAAAGTTCTTCCTGATGTTTAGTTGGAATCTCCTTTTGTAACAGAAATCCATTTGTTCAGGTCCAACTCTGGAGCGGGAGGAAGCAAGCTTGCTCCATCTTCTATCTGACAGCCCTTTAGATAAATGAGGATGGCTGTCATATCTCCTCTCAGTCTCCTGTTTCCCAGGATAAACATCCCCAACAACCTGAACCATTCCTTATAAGGCTTGATTTCCAGGCCCTTGATCATCTTGGTTGCCCTCTTCTACACATGGTCCAACTTGTCAATATCCTTAAATTGTGGCACCCAGAACTGGAGACAGGACTCCAGGTGGAGTCTAAGCAAGGCCAAATAGAGCAGGACTATTACTTCCCTTGAAAAAGCAACACAACAGCACCCATATAGTACAGTACAGTAATTGTATTATGTTAATTATATTCCCTGCCTTTTCTCCTGACAGAGACTCAGGGCGGTGTTAGTGTTAATTCTATCAATGTTTATTTTATGTTTTATTTTTTTAAATGGTTGTGTTTCCTATGTTTTAGTGGTTCTTATTTTTATCTGTAAGCCAGCTTGAGTCCCTGTCAGGGAAAAAGGTTGGGCATAAATAGATACTATATTTTTCGCCCTATAGGACGCACTTTTTCCCCTCCAAAAATGAAGGGGAAATCTGTGTGCGTCCTATGGGGCGAATGCAGGCTTTTGCTGAAGCGTGGAGAAGCTATCAGCAAGCCTGGGGAGCCTGCGGGAGTTCCCGCAGGGCTCCCTAGGCTGCGGATAGCAGCCTGCTTGCCCGGAGTGCGGGGCGCGCCAAAGCAGAGCGCCCCGCGCTTCGGGCAGACACCCGCAGCCTGCTTGCCCGGAGCGCGGGGCGCGCCAAAGCAGAGCACCCCACGCTTTGGGCAGATATCCGTGGCTGGGGGGGGGGATTAATTCCCCCCCTTTATTTCCCCCCCAAAAAACTAGGTGTGTCCTATGGGCCGGTGCATCCTATAGGGTGAAAAATACGGTATATAATACAACAACAACAGATTAACCTTCACTAGGAGTGGGCCTAATTCCACTCATGGATGATTCCATCTTGCCCACAGAACCTCTCGGTCTTGGCTTTGCTCCGTCCACCATGTTGACTTCAGGGAGGAGCTTTTTTTCCTTGTGGCTAGCAGGGAAATACAGCTAATTGTAGGCATGGAAACCCAATCTTGGTGGAGGGGCAGGAGGGTTCTTTATAACTCTTTGCTCCCTACTGGGGTTCAGATCACCACAATCCCTGCAGTCCCTGCAGTCTGTCTTCCTGTTTGGTTGAATAGGAACATTTATTCCAATACCAATAGCAGACTTAGAGTCTGAGGAATTCTTGTGTCTGGATCTTTGTAGCTGGGGGGAAAGTTAAAGCCCCCCCCATTCCTTGATGCCATAGTCTAGATCTGAATCTTCCACCTCCCCAAAAGAGTTAGTAAGAGTTAGAACAGAGGATGGTGGTGTGTAGGTGTGTAGCAGAGTGGCTCACTTGGGGAGGGGGATGGTTTCCCATCTCTGGCTTACATGTAAGGTAGCTTGAAATGTGCTCATTCTTTCTGAGTTTTCTTGTTTTTGATTGATAAAGGTTCCTTCTGTGTTTTTGTTTTCCAATTCCAGCTGGCCAAGAAAATGGGGTTTCCTGCTAATTTGGTAAACGAAGCAGCTGATAATATGATTAAGATTTACAACCTCTTCATTAAATTTGATGCTACTATGGTAGAAATTAACCCCATGGTTGAAGATTCTACAGGGATTGGTAAAGTGCTTTCTTTTGGAATTGTTTCACTTTGAAAACTTAATTGTGGAATTTATTAACTTTAATTACAAAATAAGATATCTGAGTTTTTGCTCATGTTTTATTAAGAGGATTTAAAAACCTCAAACTAGATTTACCTGTTTAAGATGTGCTTTGGCATTGTCCAAATGCGATATTATGCCTTAAATGGCTCTACAAACTGCAGTGAGAAGACATTTTTAGGACTGTCAGTTACATGTACTGTGACAAGAGTCAGAAATTTGGTCAGTGTATCCCTTAAATGTGTTCAATCTGATTCCTTTCTCTCTCTTTTTTTTGGGGGGGGGTTGGCTCTTCCGAGTTAAATCAGTTTGCCTTTCCCATTTGTACCCTTTGTGTAGGAGCCTCTTCTATGCACACCATTTTCTCTGAGTTTCTCATGTGTATTTTCTTGGCTTTGGGAAGAAATATCATAACTTTGATGGTCTATACATGTAGCAGGATGAGGTGAAAGAGTGTAGTGCATCACTTCAGGTTCCAGATGGGGGAATGTCACTCCTGAATTTGACTACTGTAAAAAGTTCCCTGCATGTACAATACCAGCACAGCACGCAGGAAACTTATTATTACACATCAGAGAGCATGCAAGGCTTGTTTTCTGCTTTCAGGGAATTTGCATGTTATGGGACATTTAGAATACAGTATCTTCTTCATGTTAAACTGGCTCAGGACTCTGCTACCTTAATCTGCACTGTGTTTAGACTAGCCCACATAGATAACTTGGGAAGTTACTGTTCTTAGCATTATAGCATTAAGGGGTCTAAACACAACTTGTTTGTTTTTCCAAGTGATGTGTATGGACGCAAAGATAAATTTTGATAGCAATTCGGCTTATCGTCAGCAGAAAATATTCGACCTGCAGGACTGGACCCAGGAAGACCAGCGAGACAGAGATGCAGCCAAAGCAGATCTCAATTATATAGGATTAGATGGAAGCATCGGATGTCTTGGTATGTTGGGCATGGTGAATGCTGAATATAGGAACTAAAGATGCAGCAGTGGCTGCAATAGTTACTGTTTTCTTTTTCTGCCCCTCTTTCAGTGAACGGCGCTGGTCTTGCAATGGCCACTATGGATATAATTAAACTTCATGGAGGCACCCCAGCAAATTTTCTTGATGTTGGAGGTGGTGCCACAGTGCAACAAGTAACAGAGGCCTTTAAACTGATTACATCAGATAAAAAGGTAAGAACACAGTTGCTATTTAGAGTTCTCTGATTAACCTGATGTTTAATTAATCAAGTATTGCTGCTAGTCAGAAATGCAGGTTACTGTTTCTCCTATGAGCAGGCATCTTCTTTCAAGGAACAGCCTGACCTCTAAGCACAGTCCTGTGCTAGTTCCCTTGATGATAGCTATAGTGTAAGTTAAAACTGCACTGTAACTTGAGCTTTAAAAACCTTTAGTATTTTTTTCTGGTTTCATTAATTTGGACTTTAGGTGAAAATAAGACTTAGCTGAAACCGTGTGTGTGTGTGTGTGTGTGTGTGTGTATCTTCCACGGGAAGGAAGCTACAGGGATTAAATCACCATCTAACTCACGCCTCCCCTCTTGTCTGTTCCCCATTCCCATCTAAATTCATATCTCATTCAAATTCCTACTCTTAGGGATTTGAGCCACACTGCCTGATCTCACTGGCTGTAGTAGCAGGTGGTAGAAGGATATAGGAACATCTCCCTTAGCTAGAGGGTAAATTAACTCAAACTACCAAATAGATACGCAGCTAAAAAGGCAGCAAGGGTGTATGCCAATGATTGTCACATGTGCAGCTGCTGCCTGTTGGACAGAAGTGATGGACAGAAGTGATGGGTGTGTGCTTGGTGCAACGAGCTCCTGCCCCTTAGGGAATGAGCTAGAGGAAAAAGCAGTAAGAGGAGGCATGATAGAGGTGCTTGGAATTTGCCATAGAAAGTTGATAGAGAAAAGTTTTACTCCCTCTTTCATAATACTTGACTGAGGGACATTCAGTGAAACTGAATGCTGGAAGATTCAGGACAGATAAAAGAAAGTGCTTTGCACAGTGCATAGTTAAACTATGAAATTTGCTCCCACAAGAGATAGTGGTGGGCAGAAATTTCAGTGGCTTTAAAAAGAGGATTAGACAAATTTATGGCTGTCAGTGGCAGTAGGCTGACAAACAGAGGAGAATGCCATCATGTCCAAACGCCACGCAGTTGCCTGAAAACCGGCAATTGAATTGCACCCTCTCTTTTTAAAACCCTTTAAAACATCTTTGGGACAAGAAAACTGTAATGAGAGCCCTCCCTCCCCCTTCATCTACTGGCAAAGATCTACTATCTGAAAATCTATGAATACCACTTTGTTGAGGAGATAATACCCACAAAGGAGGAGTGGCAGATGAAATTAGTGGAATACGCAGAATTAGCAAGCTTAACCAGCGAAATTAGAGAGTAAGAAGAGAAATTTTTAAAAGAGGAATTGAAGCCATTTCTAGACTACCTTAAAAACCATTGTAAAAATGTTAGAACTTTAATCAGTTTGGAGTAAGCTCAGCAGTTAAAGTTTATAATGAGAAGAATTTGAATGTTTAAATAGTTAGAAAAAATAGAATATGAAGCAGGAATTGGAAATTTAGGGAGCCATGGATGGGAAGTTGATGGAATAGAATTCTGGATTGATGTAATGTATCTATTCCCCGCCTTTTTTCCTTCCTTTTTATTCTTCGGTGCTGTATTTTGTACTCTTATAAATTCATTTATATTTTTTTAACCACTTTCTGTTGCTGGAAAAACAGAAAGTAAATGAATTGTTAAACTATCTAAAGCAAAGTGGAAAGCTTGATTTATGGTGGACAAGAGAGATGATAGAAATTCCGTTAACTTTTTTTTGCTTCCTGCCACCTAAAAGAATTCGAGAAATTGAAAGTGGAGTAATTAGCACTAGCCATGACAAAAAGAATTTGTTTTGAGATAACAGTTGCAGCTGCAGAATGTCAATACTTTGGTTTTTAATGAAGTTATGTTGAGGTGAATTGAGTGGCTAATAATAACCAAAACATTAAAAGTTTCCAACATGGTAAAAGTACTTTTGGATCAACCAGTGACTGTTGGTATTGTTCAGCAGTTGATAGCTGGACAATTAAAAATGATTAGATCAATGTTTGATGAAGATAAAGAAAATGAGCCAGATGGTGATGCAAAAAAAAGAGGAGCCAGAGGAATATGAGGTAGAAAATGGAAAGGGAGAATACACAGAGGCCCCAGATCAAATTGATGAAAAGTTGGGAGGACTGTATCAAGAAATAATCAATGGAAGGAAGCAGATGGTCACATGGAAATGGAAATGACCTCCATACAAGGATTTAGGGAAGAAGTAGAATGCCAGAATAGCTCTGCCAACTGTTGCCTGATGCCATAAATCAGAAGCGGGCACGAGACTTGATGGCAATTAACTTTTATTGCTTAACACCCAGAGAGTCAGCACACACACACACACACCACACACACTTCAGAGGAGCTAGGTTTCCACCCCCACCCACCCCCGTTCTTGAGCTGTGAAAGGGGGGGGAGGGCCCAGAACAGAGCTCTCTTGCAGAGCAGGAGATGCAGCCCCTGCTCTTTCCCTATCAGAGTCTGGGCCCACATCAGAGTCCCCATCACCCCCAATCTCTGACTCCAATGCTTCCCTGCTGGTTCCCTTTGTCAATGGCTCCTCCCTGTCCCACCAGTCTGAATCACTGCATAGCTGCCTTGGTTTAAGGCGGGTCAAAGTAGGTCAAAACCCTGACTGTCCCGTTGGGCTGGGTCTCTCATGATGGCTCCCTCCTAAAAACTGCTGCCTCTGTGTCTTTTTCTAAGGCAAGATATATTTCCAAAACCCAGTGTTATGAACTGCATTAGTTTCAAACAACTTAGTCTCTTGTATGTTTGGACATGTGGTGATGTCTGCCAAGCATAGTTGCCTAAAACTATAAATTCAAAGGTATTAAGAAAAACATATTACCAATTATATGCTCTTTTGCAGCCACATAATTGCATAATGTCTACAAATTAGCAAACGATTCAACGATCTTCCTTTTGCAAAACGCATTATTTTTTTATCAGAAGACGGAATGAATCTGTGCTCCATTATGTTTACAGTTCTATGTACTTTTTTACGCAGGTGCAAGCTATTCTGGTGAATATTTTTGGAGGCATTATGCGATGTGATGTGATCTCACAGGGAATAATTATGGCAGTAAAAGATTTGGAGATTAAAATACCTATTGTTGTACGGTTACAAGGTGAGCATTTTACAATAAAAGAACCATAGGATTGTAGAGTTGGAAGGGATCCCAAAGGTCATCCAGTCCAACCTCCTGCAATGCAGGAATCTCAGTCTCGGCTCTGCCGCTCAGCCAGTCGCAAACCATGTGACTGCAAATCTCAACTTGGTTGCTAGGTGGCACCCCTGAGTCACAAAAAGCCACTGGTGATGGGTTAATTTCGAATGCTGCTTCTGCATGCTTTGCAGTACAGAATATAGAAAAGCAGAGCCTGTAACACAATGAATCATCTTCTACAGCTTCTCTTAAATCTGTAGCTTTTATGATTGTACAGAGTCCCTTTTACTGTTGAAGTTAGACATTCATTGACATACCACAAGCTTATATTTTCCTCCTATATATGAAGATATATCCGTCAGTGATGCTAAAAATATAGACTTAAGCACTGGGGTTCATTAATGGAATCATAGAATTGTGGAGTTGGAAGAGACACTAATCCAACCCCCTGAAATGCAGGAATCTCAACTGAAGCATCCATGACAGATGCTTAAAAACGTCCAAGGAAGGAGAGTTTATTATTACCAACCAGGTTATATTTGCCTTCCTGTATTAAAAGCTCCAGTTTGTCTTGCTTGTTTCCCATACTCTGTGCATTTGTATAGATACAACTGAAACCATGTGTCGTTCCCTCCAGCTGCTTCTTTCTTGTAGCTTCTTGCCCTTTAGCAGGTTTCTGAAGTGCCACCTTATTTTTTGTGCATAAATGCAGCTATTATTCAAAATACCAGGTGTTCTTCTGTCATTTGTAATGTTGTCTCCCTCCCCCTTGAAGATCTAGTTTAAAACTCTCCTGGTCAGGAGAGTTGCTGAATCCAAATTATCTTAGTGACTGGTTTCCAGATGTCACCAATGTTTAGTAAGGTTTGAATTGGTAGCAGGGGGTGAAGGGGACTGGCAGGGGTGTGGCAGAAATTGATGGATTCCTGAGTACTCTGGAGAATTTTCCAATGGATCCTTCCAAAGCTCCTTTGTAATGGAGAGTTGAGACAGGCAGTGCCTGATCACTCCTGAGCATCCTTTCCAGCACTGCAGTGCCTGATTAACTCCTTGGCATTCTAGAGAGCTATGTGCTATGAAGAAGCTGGACAAAAACTGGAACATAAGTGGCACAAATCTCACTCTGAAGTTAGCGGAGCAGAGGTTGGTGCACATACAATTGCCTACCATGCCGCAGTAAGGGCACCCAAAACTGACAAAGCTTTTGCCTCTTGGTCAACTGGACTCCCACTCTAGCCTTAAAATATATTGCCATATGATTTTGAAAAAGATTGGTTGTGAGGAAAGAGAAGTATGGTAGCTACTTCAGTCAAGGCCACACTGTCTGTTGTGCCAATTACTATGTCCTGTGTTCAGAGTCAAGTGTTTGGATAACATTGACAGAAATAACCTGTGAATCCTGAAATATAAAATCCTAACTATGTAGGTACACGAGTTGATGATGCTAAAGCTTTAATAACAGCCAGCGGTCTGAAAATACTTGCCTGCGATGACTTGGATGAAGCTGCTAAAATGGTGAGCTAAAATTTATTTGTAAAAATTCTTGCTGTAACGTATTTTTGATAGGCATTGTTAACCTACCTAAACATGATGAAATGGCACTCTTAAGCTTTCAGTGTTATAGGATTCTTCACATACTGTAGTATACCGCAAAATGTCCGTATGCACAGTCAGGTGGCTGTAAGAATCTAGTCCTGTTAAGGCTCTTAGTATGATCACACAATTCTAAATCGGACCGTCTGGCTTCACCACATCCCTGCTCTATGCCTGCTGCTCACCATGTTGGAGGGCAAACATCTGCAGCAGGGAGCCTTCTGTGCTTGCGGAGGCTCCCTGTGCAAGTTGAACCACAGAGTAAACCAGGGGTCTAAATTGTGCAGGGAGCCCCCACAGGCACAGAAAACTCCCCGCTGCAGGTCATAGAATCATATAATTGTAGAGTTGAAAGGGACCACGAGGGTCATGTAGTCCGACCCCTGCAATGCAGGAATCTTTTTTGCCCAACGTGAGGCTCAAACCTACAACCCTGTGATTAGTGGTGTTTGACTTTCCAACCCATGGAGGGCAGCTTCTGTCTACATCTGTTCATAATCAATATACTTATAACTAGACTCCTACCTTATTCAGGATAAGAGACCATGCATATAGCTGTACATGTTTTGAAAGAATGCGCATATAATTATGTAAACTGATGAATGCATAGTAACTTAATGATACTCTGTGAAGCAAGTGCTTGAGGCACAACCCTTTTTGCCCTGAACAGTGTCAGAGGAGGAGTTTGTTAGGTGGCTCTGAGGGAAAGTTGGAGATCACAGGTAGAGTGAATAGACAGCTTAGAGAGAGAAGTGAATTACAGCCTTCCGTCCTACCTGCTACAGTGGTAAAGCCTTGGCACACCCCTGGCTGGTCACCTTGGCAGGTAATGGAGCGCTTGATGCCACAGCCCCATGGATCTCCTTCTTTGCACACCTTGATGGCGCGGATGCTGGACTCGTTCAGGCCAGTGCAGACAGTCATGCTGCCTCTCAATCAGTCCAGCACAGCCAGTTTCTCTTGCATTGTGGGAACACATTCTGCTTTTTAGCTTTCCCACCTTGAGGAAGAAGCTGTCTTGTGTTGGGGGTCATGCACTCAGACTGAACCTCTGCTTCCTTTCAGACCACCTTCCCCTCGCTCTCAGATCACCTTCACTTGCTCTTCATGCTCCCATGTCCTGTGCACACCCAGCCAAGGAGGACAAACGGACAATAGTTTAATTTTTTATTGACAAAAGCACGCACTTACAGCAGCTCCCAAGCTGCCCAGAATCCACATGCATGCTTCTGGCGACGATGTGGCTGGCATTACTTTCCCAGGTTCAGGCCTGGCAGAGCAGTTCCAAAGGGACCACATTTGGCCCCTGGGCCTAAGGTTCTTTATCCTTGTACAGTGGTACCTCGGGTTACATAGGCTTCAGGTTACAGACTCCGCTAACCCATAAATATTACCTCGGGTTAAGAACTTTGCTTCAGGATGAGAACAGAAATCGTGCCCCAGTGGTGCGGCAGCAGCAGGAGGCCCCATTAGCTAAAGTGGTGCTTCAGGTTAAGAACAGTTTCAGGTTAAGAATGGACCTCCGGAACGAATTAAGTACGTAACCAGAGGTACCACTGTATTAAGCAGTCAGATGACTTCATCTTTCAGTGCATTAGACTGATATGACTTCCTTTATGAGGTTTTGTTACACTCTGTAAGCTATTTCTTCCATGTGACTTAGCTGTAACATTTTGCAGTTATTCATACTGTTAGTCACCCAAATTACTTTTTATTGTTGTCATTTCACCTGTACTTGTTGAATTGATTTTAGTATCTTATGGAAACAAAATATCTCAAGGTGATTTTTGTTTTGTCTTTTAGGTTGTGAAACTCTCTGAAATAGTCACCTTAGCAAAGGAAGCTCAAGTGGACGTTAAGTTTCAGTTACCAATTTGATCAGACATGTAATGGTTCGTGTTCCCCAAACCCTTGTTGTGTTCAGCTTTCTAAAATACTGTTCTATTATTATTTCTTCTATTATGTATGTGAAGATTTTACTTGCTTGATAGGCAAGCTTGTATCACCTTCCTGTTAATATTCAAAGTGTTTGCTGTAATAAAAAAAAAAGTTAAATACTTAGTTGCAGTCTCTCCTTCAGTTACAGCTACAGGAACAGATGCTCTTCATATGGGGAAATACAACCTTGAGGCTGAAAATGTGTGTTCCAAACAAAAAAATAAAAAGTCCATAGCTTGTGTTGATCTCATTGAAAAACTTAACAGTTAGGCTTAGTAACATATTATTGGCATTTGTCTCAGGAGACAATAGAGTGCACCTCCAGGGGTGAAGTCAAACTGCTGCATTAGCACTTCATTGCCCAGAAGTACAGTGGTGCCTCGCAAGACGAACGCCTCGCAAAACGAAAAACTCGCAAGACGAAAGAGTTTTCCGTTTTTGAGTCGTTCCGCAAGACGAATTTCCCTATGGGCTTGCTTCGCAAGAAATCTCCGGGGACCTCTTTTAAATGCTGGCGGTGGGGAGCAAAGCCTTTCGCCCCCCTCCGGCCTTCAGAAGAGGTCCAGGAAGGCCGGCGGGGGCCGAAAGGCTTTGCTCCCCACCGCCAGCATTTTAAATGCGGTCCGGGATAGCAGGGGAGCGCGCTGCGCAAGCTCCGGGGACAGGAGGGCTTTGCTGCCGCCCCGGGACAGCGGAGAAGCTTTTAAAATGCTGGCGGTCGGCAGCAAAGCCCTCCTGTCCCCGGAGCTTGCGGGGCGGGAGGTGGGGAGAAGGGCTTTTCTTCCCACCGCCAGCCTTCAGAACAGCCTTCTGAAGGCTGGCGGTGGGAAGAAAAGCCCTTGTCCCCCCCCCCCCCAGCCTTCAGAAGAGGTCGGGGGACAGACTGTCCCCGAACCTTGTCTGAAGGCGGTTTCCATAGGAACGCATTGATTGATTTTCAATGCATTCCTATGGGAAACCATGCTTCACAAGACGAAAAAACTCGCAAGAAGAAAAAACTTGCGGAACGAATTAATTTCGTCTTGCGAGGCACCACTGTATCTGCTGGGCAACTTTAAGAGAAACAATTCATGTAGCACAGAATACTATGGTAATACAGATGAATGTGTTGAGGTGTTCTGTATATGCAGTATATCAAATATATTTATATTCTGCAGTACAGTGAATGAACTAGAGCATACTGCTCACTATTTATGAACAGTGCATTTTTATAGCCTGTGCTTTCTAAAGCAAAAACTCTTTGAACGTTGTAATTTAATCACTATGAAAGTACTGTATGATTTTCTGGTACTTAATTTAAAATACCATGTAGATTTGTATACGAACTAATAAATGCTTGTTTCTTTTAGTACTGGGCAGACATAGTATTCTTTAGAGTAGCAAATAAAATTTATTCAAAGAGCTGAGCATTGTTCTCCTTCACATATTTATATTTAAATGAAATCATTGTTTAATATTACTGTGAAATGCGTTACTAAAATCAGTGGGGATCTGAATGTTACAATCTTAGCACTTACATAGTGCCTTAGAGTGTACAAAACGTTCAACATGTGTTATCTCTAATAGTTGTGCCACAAAAACTTATCTGCAGCAAAGTGGGAATGAATGTTATGTTAATAGATACACTTCCTTTTTATAGAAAGCTTCTTTTGGAATATACGTTTAACAAGCTGCGTACAACTGGGAAGCAGGGCCAGATTTGTAACTAGGATAAATAAAGAATTGGAAACTCTTCACATGTTTGGCAAATGTGTTTTCATGAATATTTGTGCAGCAAACATGTAAAGTACAGATGACACACATATGTGCTGACAAACACATCTTTAAACACAACATACATATACATGGTTGTAGTCATATGTGACACTTGTTATTACTTGACAGTTTTCCACATTGGGTTTTAATAGCTACATGCTCAGTGTTCCCATTTAGTTCAACAATACTTGCATCTCACACCAGGTCATTGACAAGAGTTTAATCTTAAATCTATGGACTCTGCCCCTCTGTTCTAGGGCAGTGTCATTTTAAAGGCATTTTACCTCTTTGGCATGACTGGAACAACACTTCCTCTTTCCTGGGCAGTTTGGTTGGAGGGATGATAGTACTAGTCCACAGTACTAAATTACTCTTGGTGCTATGTATCACACCACTGTGTTTGTGCTCCTTTTGGGATTTCTAGCTTGTGGGTTTAATGCCCTTTGACATACAGAGTGACACCACCTTCTTAAACTCTCTTATACAGTTGTACCTTGGTTTTCAAACAGCTCAGTTCTTGAACGTTTTAGCTCCCAAACACCGCTCCTGAGTGTTATGGTGTGCGAACCATTTTTGGAAGCTGAACATCTGACAGGGCTTCTGCAGCTTCCGATTGGCTGCAGGAGCTTCCTGCAACCAATCTGAAGCCGCACTTTGGTTGGTTTTCGAACATTTTGGAAGTTGAACAGACTTCTGGACCGGATTCCCTTCGACTTCCAAGGTATGAATGTACTGAGAAATAACTCCAGAGGAACAATTCCAAAGAAACAATTCCCCCCACCAGACCTTCGCCCCCATACAGCACCAGATCCAGCCATAGGGAGCCTCAGCAGCATTTGGTCTGTCATCCTCTCCAACTACGTCACCCTGCTCCAATGCTTGCGCTACCAACCCTTCGTGTGAGTCCCCGTAGGAGCACTCCTGCCCTTGAAGGTGGTCCAGCTAGGGCTGGATTGCCCAGATGAGGAGCCCTAATTGCCACAGGTAACAGCCATGGAGACATCCAGCCCCGCCTGGTTGGGGCAGGTCCAAATGGTGCAGGGCAATGATGGACCAAATACGGGGGCTCCCTATGACTGGATTGGGTGCTGTATGTGGGTGAAGGTCTGGTGGGGGGATTGTTTATTTCTTAGTGTAAGGTTTTTATTGCTGTTTAAGAAGGTTTACTATTTGAGGGGGGTGGAGTTTGTTGCTGTTTGAGGTTTTCCTATTTTGTTCAAATAAAGACCTCTTTTCCCTCATATTGTCTATGAAAGATCCTTTAAAGAACCTGCAGTGTTAACTGGCAAAACAAGCAGAGTCCTTGGAGACAAAGAGACCAAAGAAAGAAATGACAACCCCCTTGGCCTATGAAAGAATATGGCTAAGTAACTAAGGACATTTGAATACTTGGATTATTTCCCTTAAAATAATAGGCTTCATGTTTTGTAACCTTGCCTTTGTTCATCCATAAAGTACAGAAGCTGGACACCACCCTCACTTTCTGCTGAGGTGTGGCCCTGGCTTGGAAAGGAAGCTTAGCATGCATTTTTCTACTGGCCTGCAATTTCCCCTTCAATATTCCAATTAATCAAAATTCTACCATTTATTAATGTCTAGGGTTTAGGAGGTCCCCCCCCCGCACATCTGTAACAATAGTTCCATTTGCTACCTTCACATACCTGTGCTTTATTTTAGGTCTATAATTGTATATGGACTATGTATAATGTCACCAGGTTGGTGTATTTAGGTGTATTCAATGGTGTACTTTGCAGAATCTTATACAACCAGAGGAGGGTTGCGTGAGGAGACATCTATTTTGGGGATGGGAGAGGTGGCTTTGCAGACAAGGGGTGTCCTCTCTCTGCCACAGGATTAGGCCAGGGAAGGATTACCCCACTGTTCTCCACAAATCCCACCGGCCAAGGGAGAAGCCACATCTGCAGGCTGTCAGAAGCCAGGCATTGGCTTCACCTGCTGAACAGCAGCCTGAAGGAGCAGAAGGCGAAGTGACTCCGCCTGCTGCTGATCAGCTTTCTTGCTCCTGATGAGAGCCAGCTGGCTCCAGCTTTCTCTCTTTTTAAAAAAAGGATAGTGTTTTTGAGAACCATAGTGTGTCAAGTACAAGGGGCAACTCTGGACTGTTGGATTGGCTAGTGTCCTAGTCCTGTGCTGTCAGCCACAGCAGAGCTTAGTGGAGGGAGAATCAACCTCAAGGGGGTACTTGCCTGGAGGCAGAGTCCAAGGTCCAGTCCAAGGTCCAGAGTATCTCAGTTCATGTAGTCAGACGATCCAAGGGTCCAAAGCCAAGGTCACGAGAAGCAAGAAGCAAGGTCCGGCCAGGAACAATGAATGTTGTTTCCAGCAACTGAGGCTGGAAACTCTGCTTACAAAAGCTGGAGCTTTCTGCTGCTGCTGCTTGGCAGGTGAAGAAGATTCCTGGTCCTGGACCCCTGCCTCCCGCTGCCCCCTCCTCAGCTCGCTCACTGACACTATCCCTCGCACTGAGACCTGACATGGCCAAGCCAAGCCATGAAATGTAGCAAATGAACTAACAGTGCATGTATGACATTTTATTTGAAAAGGGGGGGGGATATAAATGTGAAATATAAATACAATGCAAGAAAGGGTATGTGTTGATGTATTTTACTTGGTATGTGGCCTAAAATATCAAACCTTTTTCCACACTTGATCTGGAATGAAAGAAGACAGCAATACTGTATTAGTGTCTTCCCCTTTGGCTTCAAAACCTAATGAGTGATTATGTCACCTAGTAGAAAATTTAAAAATGTTTGGATAACAAAGACTCTTCAACATTAGTATTGTCAGCGTCCAAAATATATCAAAAAATGTTCCTAGTATACTTGAAATACATCAGAAAGTACTATCAGCAAGTCTTTCTGATTTCAAAATCAGAAGCAGGTGTTTTTTTAAAAAAAAGTATTTTATTTGTATAGTTATTTACAGAGCTTTCTTTCAAAGGATGAATGCCTGGATTTATTTATTTTTAGACTTTTAAATACAAATTATAATCTGCAAACTGCAATCCTGTGACCCCAGAAATATATCCCAAGAGTCCGAGGAAACATCAAGAGCTCCCTGTCCATCGATGATGGAGAAATAAAATGCCAGATCCACCACACAACAGTTATGGAAACATCTAACAGCTTTTGAAGCTCCAACTCTGGTAAGGGCCCCAAGCTGCTGTGAATCTCTCCCCCAGTTTCCCCTAAAGTTTTTTCCCAGTGGGAGGAAAATAGTTATTTATAAAAACATCCGTTAAAAGGACAGGAGTGCAAGATCACTTATCCACCCTCATTTCTTTCCTGCCAGGAAGAGCAGAGTTGGAGAAGGCAGTTCAACCACCTTCTGTACCACTCCTGTAGGACTGAAGTCTAAAAATACCTATGTGGGACAAGCCACAGGCTGCCACAGTGGCGACGCCTGGATCCTCACTGGCAGCTGTGTCGGCAGAGCTCTACAGAGCCCAGCACAGTGACTAGATGAGGCTTCCTCAACCTTGGCCCTCCAGATGTTTTGAAACTATAATTCCCATCATCCCTGACCACTGGTCCTGCTAGCTTGGGATCATGGGAGTTGTAGGCCAAAAACATCTGGAGGGCCAAGGTTGAGGAAGCCTGGACTAGATCCACAGTACTGGAGGTGGTTACACTTGCTTAGTTTATAGTCCTATTGGGTTTAAGTAGACTAAATTACTTCAGGTCCACTTTCTCCAGTTTAACTCATTTGCAAGTTGGGTTTATGTTTAACAAATATTTGACCAAAGCAGCTCTATAAATGTACTAGCTGCAGCTCAATAAAATGGAGGGTTGTTTTTTAAAAAAATAACCTAATTTTCACCACCACACCTGAAAGCTTTTCTTCCATGTTCATACTTGTGAAACTTTATCTACAAACTTCAAAATGAAGTGAAGTATTAAAAAGAGCCTGGCAGAATTCATTAAATAGATAAATGAAGTTAATCAAAGTAATTATTTTCCTATTAAATGAAATGATTTAAATTAAGTAAGCATTTTCATTTTGTAACTTGCCAGTCTTTATAGAATCCTTTACCCACTGCTCAGACAAAATTTTAAACTTCCTTTTGAACGTTCTTCTCAGAGTCTTTATCTCCTTCAAATGAGCATGATCTCCACAGATTACATGGGACACACCCTCTTCAAGCTGTTGAACCACTTTTGCTCCATGAAATCGAAGTATCAGTGCTGCAGTTAATAGTTTTGTTTGTTTAATCCTAGCACCTGAATTAATCAATTCATCAGGAGCCAGGTAAATTGTGTGCTGCCTAAACATACTTAGTGGAGAGCTTTCCCATGAATAACGTGCTTCTATGTCAGCAATTGCATCCTGAGAGATCTCTGCCTGAAAGTTATTCATTCTTGAGAACACCTGCTTTAGTTTGGCAATATCAATATCACCTGTGTAACTATCACCATAGCAGTCATATTCACAGGCAAAATGTTGTTTTGTTTCTGGAGACATGTGAATCATGAAATCAAGCTGCCAGGGTACAAATGTTTTGGATTGAAAGCACTGCAAAAGCCACTCCGCTCTCACGACATCATACTTGTCAGAAGAAATAATATTTTTCACTCTGACATTCTCAATTCCTGCAATCACACAATAGGTGTCCAAACCAGGATTCTGGACTATGCTGCCGCCATATTCCGCTATTTTACTTTCCAGCTGATATTTTGAATATTTTTGCGTCCCTGTCATAACACAAAACTCAACATCTTCAAATATGCTAGAAATCTGGTTTACATTTGAAAGATCAGGAGCTTTAAAATGATCTATTAAACCAATTTTTTTTTTAATCTTGGGCACAGTTTTACGTTTCTTTCCTTGTGGCTCATCATTATCTATATCAAAGTGCTTAGTCGCTAGCTTTCCACAAGCTTTACCTCTGAGTTGCTCTAGAATGTCAAGAGTCATACAATCATGCCATTCTTTATCTTCTCTTATCCTCTCAATACGAGGGAAACGTAATGTATAATCAGTTTTGTACATATCACTGCTCACAATCTCTGCTGCTTTAATCTGGACGATGACTGAATTACAAGGCTCAATATAGACTTCAGGCTTCTCAGTTCCACACAAGATATTAAAAGGAGGATCTCTTTTACGATAAGGTTTCCAATATTTGGCTAATTTCAAGCCAAGATCATAAAGTTCTTTCATAGTGTAACCAGAACCAACACGACAAATGGAGTGAAACACTGATGGTTTTTCACCAGGCAGAGGAGTCTCAGCAACTGCACATAAAAAATGTGACATCATGCCACCACGAAGACCTTTTCCCCAGTAGCCCCCAACAATTAAAAGGTCTAGTTCATCCATTAGTCCACTAACATACTCTGGTTTGATCTTGAACCATCCTTCCCCACGTTTGTCCGGCTTGTAAATTGACATGGGATCTTTTATCACAATTCCTTCTTCTCTGTTATCTATTGCTTCATTTAGAGAATCTATTACTTCTTTCTGAGTGTTAGCTTGATTTTTAGGAACAAACTGCAAACGACCTTCTATTGGTGTAAATATCTCATTCAGTTTCTCATATCTTTTGCTCAACATCTCATGACCCAATTTTTGGTTATTAACCATTGAGAACATCAAACACACAGAAGCATGTCTGTAATTCTGAATCATCTGACATCTTTTTGATGTCAAATTTGCTACCCTTCTGTACAAAGTTCTGTGTGGTGGGATTGTAGGCCATCATTTCACCATCCAGAATGCAGTTCTGAATATTTTTGTTGAAGATATTATGAATAAATGGAGTCAATGAACCTTCCAAGGGAGAAGCTCCAAACTGCTGAGTATAATCATACCCATTTCGGGAAAAATACTTGTAAACATCTCCATCTTTGTGCATCTGCATTCGCTCACCATCTAATTTGGTTTCTATGTAAAAACTCTGGTTGTTCATTTGTTTTTCAATTTGTTGTATATCAGCAATAGCAGCAAGCATCGGTTTAAAGGCAGAAAATAATGTAATAGAAACATCACTAAGAAATACAGAAGGATTGTGTAACTGTCTACAGACTTTCTCCAAATCAGTTGTAACATTGTGCAACTCTGAAGCATCAGGATGAAAGATGGAAAGTAAGGTTTGCTGGCTGACACCAAGTTTCAAATCTTTTATGATCATCCTGATCAACCATTTCTGTTCAAGTGCTGAACTCTGAGTTATTAACTGAAGAAGGCTCTTCTTGACCAGATCCCTCCTTTTGGCAGCATTATTATTAGAAATGGAATCTAAAATATCGTTCACTTGTTTTATGGTCAGTTGACCTTTCCTGGGACACCTTTGTTTCAACACAAAATAGGCAATCATAGCAAAGTCTCCAGCATCTCCCCGTGAGCCAGTAGGTGTTCGATAATTTAAGAGTTTTAAAGCATCTTTTCCATCTTTGGGTAAATTTAAGAGCTCAATATACAGCTTAGCAAGCATGGTTTCTTTAATTCCATAAGCCATCCTTTCTCTTTCCAACTGTGGAAGAATAAGCCTCATTGCTGGATAAAAAGAATCTGCTACATCTTTTTCATTTTTATGAAGCGCATCATGATATTTCCTCCAGGAATCTAAAAACTCCTTGAAATTCTTGGTTTTCTCAGGTCGGGATTTGCATTTTTGTATTCGTTCTAATGTTGAACAGAGATCTTCAAAAGGAACTTGTGATGCCACAGTTAGTTGGGAAGGAGAACAGGAAGTAGAGATGGAAGACATCTTGAGTATTTCACTACAAAAAGAAAGAAAATGCAAGCTTGTTTTCAAATAGTACAACTCCCACTGTATTCCTGCTTTTCCTTGAATCAGCAACAGCTCTACATTTAAAATGAATTAAAATCTCAGTTTTATTACACAACGTTAGGTCCAGTCATGGATGACCCTGGGGTTGCGTGCTCATCTCGCTCTTTAGTTTCGAAAAATGGTAAGATGATACATGCATCATTTTATTTGTATGCCATCTATGCATGATGTGGTGATAGCTGTGGAGGGATTTAGGAAGTTTTTCTCTTCTCATAACTCAGGGCCACCCTGTGAAGCTGAATGTTGGAAAGAAAAGCAAAAAAGTACTTTTTCACACAGTGCACAACTAAACTATGGAATTCATTCCTACAAGACATAGCGCTGACCACCAAATCTCATGGCGAACATTAGATAAATTCATGGAGCCATAATGGGAATGTTCTACCCTCCGCAGTAAGATGCAATTTGCCTCTTCATGCTAGCTGCTGTGAATCGCAAGTGAGGAGAGAGAGGGCTGTTGCTCTCATCTCCTGTGTGGGCATTTCTTCCACAGCGTTAGCCACTGAGAGAACAGGTGCTGGACTTGAGGGGTCAGTGGTCTGGTCTAGCAATGAGTGGCCGAAAAGGGAGAGAGCAAGAGACACACATGAAAAACGAGAGAAAGAAGTATCTCACCGTCTGGATAGGTCGTATTTTCCAGGTTCATACTAGAGAACAATGTTGAAATATCTTTACAGTTTTAACATGTGGGAGGAGCACGACGTCGCAGACGCCGATACAGAAATCACATGCTGACGTGGCTGCGATTGCCCGCAGGTGTGTCCAGGCCACTTCGGGGGTCCCTGCGGCGAAGGCGACCCAGCAAGAGCAGCCCGGGGGCTTCTCCTCCCACGTCCAGCCTTGGGCCTGAGGCGCCGGAGGGTCTGCCTGGCAGGCAGAAGGGAGAGACCCCGCGGAGCCGCGGCCGGCCTGCTGGGCCCAGGGCTCTGGCTCCCTCCCTTCTCACCTCGACGAGCCTCCGCGGGGCTCCTCCTCGTCCCCCTCCGCCGCTCGCACAGAGACCAAAACACAGCCTGACAGGAAGAGCGGCCGGCGGCCTTTCTGCTCTGCGCATGCGCGAAACCTCGCCTGTTCTCGCGGAGTTTCCTTCCTCCCCCACCAGGCGCTTCCCTGATAGGCTCCGTGGCGGCGCTCGTTGGAAACCTTTGCCCTTCGAACTCTGACCCGGAAGCGTTGCCGTCCGTGCCGGTTTCCCGGAAGTGGTGAGTGGGCGAGGAGATTCCCGGCCGGGGGGCGGGGAGGACGACGGAGGAGGCGGGAGCGGGGCGCGGGCATGTCCCGCCCGGGACCGCGATGAGGTGGGCGCGTCGGGGCTCCATCCGCCCGAGCGGAGCAGCGGAGGCTCAGGTAGGGGCGGCCGGGGAGCCGCGGGACTCTCTTCTCTGCCCTGCGCTCGCTCCTCGCGGAGGGCGGCCTCGTCCCCCGCCTCCGCCTGCCCTGCGCCAGCGCCCGGGAGCTCTCGCCTTCCGCCTCGCAGCAGGTAGCGAAGCGCGGCTTGCCTGGCGCTTCCTGGGCAGGGCGGCGGGGACGGCTCTCGGTGCTGCAGGAAGGCCCTTTCTCGCGGCTGACCCCTGCCTCGCCCCCTCACGAGGGAAAGCCCCTCCTGCCCAGAGCCCACATCCCGCGTCCTTGTCTCGCCCAGGCGGCTGCCGCGCCTCGCACCAAACGCCCGGGCCTTCGAGGGCAGCGCAGCCCGGCGCCGTCGGTTCTGACCGGTTGCCGCCCTCTCTCTGGCCTCGCTACGTGAAGATCTGCCGGCAGCCTCATTACTTAGCTCTAAATGACATTCTTTGGAATTTAGCCCTGCTGAGTTTGTATAGTACCTGAAATAAGTGTGCTTCCTAGTTCCAGTTTATTTCACTGGGATTTGCTTCGATGTGAGTATGTTCACGGTGGTAGAATGGCTTTGTGCATGTTTACCTGGAAGTCCTGATTTTTCCAAGTAATAATGCATGTAGCCTCCACTCTATTATAAGGCAAAAGTTTGGCTCTATGGTGTCATTCCAGAAGCTTTGGTGATAGCCACAGTAGAAATCCAGGAAAGCTGTCTGGGTAATATATTGTTTAAAATATTATTTAATAGCCTAAAAACTTGCTTGTGAAAAATCACATCATTCTGGGAACATCACTCTGGGATGCATAGTTGAGTTTGTGACTTCTCTTTTGTATGTGAACACTGCAGCCTGTTAAAGGTAAAGGTACCCCTGCCCGTACGGGCCAGTCTTGCCAGACTCTAGGGTTGTGCGCCCATCTCACTCTATAGGCCGGGGGCCAGCGCTGTCCGGAGACACTTCCGGGTCACGTGGCCAGCGTGACATCGCTGCTCTGGCAAGCCAGAGCCGCACACGGAAACGCCGTTTACCTTCCCGCTTGTAAGCGGTCCCTATTTATCTACTTGCACCCGGGGGTGCTTTCGAACTGCTAGGTTGGCAGGCGCTGGGACCGAACGACGGGAGCGCACCCCGCCGCGGGGATTCGAACCGCCGACCTTTCGATCGGCAAGCCCTAGGCGCTGAGGCTTTTACCCACAGCGCCACCCGCGTTGCCTGTTATGCCCTATTAAAAAAGCAACTCTTAACTGGAAATTAATAAGAATGATGTCTGATACAAGATGTTTTCCAAAGCTGCAATTACTTATTTGATAAATTTAACAGTTATTAATGTAGCCTCATTCCTGTTTTTCAAAATTAACAATTATGATAGTGAGGCAATACTGGCTAATACACTTCCTTTTGTAACTTGGCACACCATCATTACCCCTTTAAGTGCTCTATGTCCTGTTTCTGGATATGAAGGCCTAACAATATAGTATCCACTTGAAATGGAGCAATTACAACTGCAGCATATGCAGTATTCCAAATGTGGCTGAATCATACATTTTGTGCGTGTGTGGCTATGGACCTAAAGGACTATAGAACTTCCCATGAGTGGTGGTGTAGGTGGCTGTCTCTGCAAGCTTTTAAGTAAGCATTAGTCTATTTCAGATGGCTTTTACCTAACATATGCTGTAATCCTATTTGCTTTAACCAGGTAGCTTAGCAGGTTTTAAGTGGTGTTTTGCTGGTTTGATGAGTTGTTTTATTATTATGGGTTTAAATTTTCTGGTATTATATGTTCTGCTGCCCACACTACTATTAATTCAAATCATTGTCGTTCCTGGCCTTTTGAGCATCAAAGTGTCTTTGATGCTACACTGTTCAAAATAGGGTGACCAACTGTGGTCATGGGCGGGATGGAAGGGGGTGACTAGAAGAGCATGAGGGAGATGCAAGCAGGGCCCCCCTAGAAGCAGGGAGTTTGAGCGATCAAGAGAGGTCAGGAGAAGGAGGGCCACCTTCCAGGACAGGCGTAGAGACTGAGAGTCACAGTGTGAGTGCCAACTTAGTTGGCCCTGCTACACAGCAGCAAAACAGTATCAGTCTTGCTGGCTTGCCTCCCCCTCTGCCACCCCACTCAAAAAGAGTCCTGCACATTGCTGAGCAAGGGGCGAGGCAGGCCCAGAGGAGGAGCTTGAACCCCCCCCCCCCAGAATGCAGACTTCGTCCTCTTGGGAGAGATCTAGAGTGAAAGGCTAGAGGTGGGAAGCTCAGAGCTAGTGGTCAGTTTCAGCAATGTCTTAGCTGGATTAAGATGAATCAGAGGATTCTGCTGTGTTATTTTCAGTTAATAAGGAGCTAATTGCATTCCGTTCCTTTCATGTGTGTGCCTGCCCTGTGGTTGGCCTGGATTGTTGATAGCTCCTTGACAGTTGTTCGCAAATTTATAAAGATATAGGTTTGGGAAACTACCCCCTCTAAATGATTAAAAGACGTATTTTGTGCGCAAAATTTATTTCATCTTCAGCTGAATCCCCTACCTTGTCTTTAATTGCTTTACAAAGATCCATAAACATTGTTTTAGGTAGTCCTATATTTTTATTTTTAGGGACGCGGGTGGCGCTGTGGGTAAAACCTCAGCGCCTAGGACCTGCCGATCGTCAGGTTTGCGGTTCGAATCCCCGCGGCGGGGTGTGCTCCCGTTGCTTGGTCCCAGCACTTGCCAACCTAGCAGTTCGAAAGCACTCCCAGGTGCAAGTAGATAAATAGGGCCTGCTTACTAGCGGGAAGGTAAACAGCGTTTCCGTGTGTGGCTCTGGCTCGCCAGAGTAGCTTCGTCACACTGGCCACGTGACCCGGAAGTGTCTTCGGACGGCGCTGGCTCCCAACCTCTTAAGTGAGATGAGCGCACAACCCTAGAGTCGGACATGACTGGCCCATACGGGCAGGGGTACCTTTACCTTTATCTTTATCTTTTTATTTTATTGGTCCTCAGTTACCAGGCACCTGTGTTACTTTATCCTATTATTCTGAATGGCTTTAGTTTGAAGCATTTAGGCATTTTGTGTATTGTCTATATCAGTGACCACTGGTCCTGTTAGCTAGGGATTATGGGAGTTGTAATCCAAAAACAGCTGGAGGGCCAAGTTTGGCCACCACTGGTCTATATGATTCTAGCTGGGATCCAGAACCTCATGTGAAGACACATCTGTTTCTAACAGTTTCTCTTGATTCCCTAATCTTGCTCTGCACTCCCATACATACTGTACTGTTTTTCTAAATACTGTTTGTATTTAGAAAAGTGTCATTTAAGCAACTCCAGAATTTTTTCTGCTTTTGCTATTGAGCTTTGGAGTTACTTCTTGTAGAAGGTCATCTCCCCACTTTATTACACATTATGCTCTCTGAAGAAATACTAATGGCGTTGATTACACACAATATTCTAGATCTAGATTTCCTTCCCCCAACTGTATTTCAATTTATTTTGAAAGCCCACACGTCTTTTTATTTATTTAAATTATTTATTTAAATTTCTTTTGGAGCCCACGCGTCTTTTGCACTACATAAAGTATAGGTATGAATTACCTTATACACTTGTTGTCCCTTTTAAAAGTTGTTTTTAAAGAAGCTTATTTATTTTCTTTTTTCAGGCTTCATATGGACTAAAGATTCATTGACTACTATAATGGAAAAATCATGGATGCTTTGGACTTTCATTGAAAAGTGGCTCCTTGCATTGGTCTCGTGGTCCTGGGGCCTCTGCCGTATCTCTCTCTTACCTTTGATAGTAACTTTTCATTTGTATGGAGGCATGATATTACCTCTGTTAATATTTGTATCTATTGCAGGTATATTATATAAATTCCAGGATGTGTTGCTTTATTTCCCAGAGCAACCTGCTTCATCACGACTCTATGTCCCCATGCCTACTGGCATCCCACACGAAAATATCTTCATCAAAACCAAAGATGGTGTGTTGCTCAATCTGATTCTTCTCAGAAACACAGGAGACAATTCCTCATATTCGCCTACTATCATTTACTTTCATGGAAATGCAGGAAACATTGGTCACAGGCTACCCAATGCTTTGCTGATGCTGGTAAACCTGAAAGTAAACTTATTGCTGGTTGACTATAGAGGCTATGGAAAAAGTGAAGGAGAAGCAAGCGAGGATGGCATCTATTTAGATTCTGAGGCTGTGCTAGACTATGTGATGACTAGATCTGATCTTGACAAGACAAAAATCTTCCTCTTTGGACGATCCTTGGGGGGAGCAGTTGCTATTCGCCTAGCGTCTGAGAATTCCCATAGGATTTCTGCCATCATCGTGGAGAACACATTCCTTAGTATCCCACATATGGCCAGCACTCTGTTTTCTTTCTTTCCAATGAGGTACCTTCCCTTGTGGTGCTATAAAAACAAGTTCCTCTCCTATCGAAAAATATCTCAGTGCAGAATGCCTTCACTCTTCATCTCTGGGCTTGCTGACCAGCTGATTCCTCCAGTTATGATGAAGCAGCTTTATGAGCTTTCCCCTGCTCGGACTAAGAGATTGGCAATATTTCCAGATGGAACTCATAATGACACTTGGCAGTGCCAAGGCTACTTCACAGCACTTGAACAATTCATCAAAGAAGTTGCAAAGAGTTATTCCCCTGAAGAAATGGCAAAAATGTCATCTAATGTAACAATAATATAACTAACTCCAGTCTTTCTGTCTGATACAACTGCATTGTACCTGGATTTGTAGAAAGTGATAAAGAATGACAATTTTTAAAGTGTGTACTCTGTCTTGTACTTATCTAAAGAGCAAAATTAAACATGGAGAGATCTAATAAATTATGAGCCAGATAGTTTTTACACTTAGCGTTATCAATTAGTGATGTTTTTGATAAAATTAATCTTAATTTCCATTTCTTAGATTAAGACACATTAATAAACTTATTGGTAAACTTTAAGTTAGCCCTCGGGGAGATCTGATGTGGTGCAAGAGGGATCCACTTGTGCAATGGGACTTCTTTCCTTTGTAGCCCTTTCCCAAATTTTGCTCCAGAGGATTATAGGATGCTTCATAGAGCAGGGTGGGATGGGGCAAGGAGAAGAGAAACCGGAAGTTCTGTTGTACAAGAAGATTTTTGTTGTGCAGGCAGACAAACATCTTTGGATGTTGCCCACTGGTTTTAAGAGAAGAACAGAGCTGTTGCATGCAGTGTATGTTTTGGCTGCATAGGTAACCATGATTACCGACACACACTATAGCTAGAGCTTTGGGATGCATGATAAACCCCTAAAATCTTTTGTTATGCATCTCAGATTGTGTAGTGCGCTTAATATTATAAGTAGCACTAATGGCCCCCTGGGCTCCTTTGGGAGGAAAGGCAGGGTAGGAATTAAAAAAATTATGGAAGTACACTCTATTCAGTATGACATGGCTGCATCCATTGCTTATTACATCCACATGCAGGATGAATGGAGAAAAGATGCATTTAAAGTTAATGATATATTAGTGTTGATATCTCATCCAGTCATGAAGACGGGCTGACTAGTGTTCATGTTGCTATGTTTGCTATCCTTATACTGGAAGGTTTACTGCCCTTAGCGCTTGTGCATTTTGCCTCTTGTGCTTGTTCCCCTAGAAGCCATGAGTGCTAAATGCATCAAACCTAAAGTCTGGTTGGAATATTGCTTTCTACTTAAACAACAATATGGCAATTGGGAGAAATTGGACTACAGGGAAAGGGTTTTTTTAGAAAATCTACCATCTAACATTTACTTCTGCTTTTCATATCAAACTCCTCTTTAACTATTTTAAAATGTTTAATTAAAAAGTTTTCTTGTGGGGGAATTGGTTTTCTTTCATTGCAGCATGGTTGTCATTTTCTAAACACTGTTGACAGATGTCATGTAACATGAATAAAACTGAAAATATTTTGGTTATTAAAGGCCAGAATCGTAGGTGTACTTCTCAGGAAATAAGTCCCACCAAACAACAGGACTTCCTCATGAAAATATACTTGGGATTGAGCTATAAAGAGGGCCAGACTAAGTGATGAAGACGGTATTAAATAATGAGTTTGATATTGAGTATACTTACAAAATCAAATTACTTATTCTATTAGGATATCTAGTATGTGTGTGTGTTTGTTTTATTTTTACTTTATAAACAATTCATTTATTGCAAAAAACTTAGTTTTTTATTTTCCGAGAAAGAGAAAAAACAGTTTACCCTTTTAGAGTGCTCCAGAATCTTACAGAATGCAATTTTAACCACTCATTTTTTAAGATGTAGTAAAATCAAACAGTCAGTTTTGAAACTGGTTGTGCTTGTTTGAAAAGCGCATAAATAAAGGTATTATGCATATGCTTGTGCAGGAAGTGGAAAACTAATGGGTAATACTTAATTGTTAGTCATACTCAGAGTAGACACACTGGTATCAGTGGACTGAAATTGATCAATTGATCCATTGATTTCAGTGAGTGCTGAGTATGACTAACATTGGCTATTGCCCCTTAGAACCAATATTGAGTATCTATTTGAGGACATTTTCTTTCTGTTTTTCCTCTATCTTCTCTGACATACTTGTTTCCTGTTTAGTCTTCTTCCAACATCTCATTCATCATTCTATTAACATTTATTACATGACACAGAAACTGCAAATAATCTCTTAAATAATTTGATATATTTCAGCAACTACAGCATTTGTACTTTGCCATTCTTTTTTGTGGTATGCTATTTTAGCTTCATCGGTTTTGGAAACATGCCTCTATTACTGTTCACAGAAAGTAAATTAAGCCTTATACAAAACCTTCAGCATTAGCATGCAATAGCATACTGTAGGGTGTAGATCATACCATCCACAGTTGTAGAAAGCGTGAAGTTAAAACAGTGCAGGAATGCTGCAATGACACCCTAGACGACAATGATCAGTATTTTATTGGCCTGAGTATTGCTTTGGAAGAGAATCTTATAGTAATTATTAATCTTATAGCATTTGTTGTAGATATATCCCTTTCCCCTTATCGTTTTATAATGATATGTGTATTTGCTATGTGCACTTTGACTTTGCTTGGAGCTCATCATCTTGTAGAAAAAATATAGGTTACATTATCTTTTTATAAGAGCAACTGAACAGCCTTTTGTGGGACAGTAAATCAGCTGAGACTTGAGCTTCGAATTTTGCCTCTGAAATCTGTGGTACTTTCCAGAAAGATTAGCAATGGTCTAGTTTTGAATGGAGAAGGATTCATTGACTCCCCAGTTATGCCTGAAGAGATAAGAGAAGCTTATGCTTTCAAGTAAGTACTTGTGCAGAGCTGGAGTATGAGGCTTATATGAAATTTGTGCTTGTTTTCACAATGAGTATTTGCATAGGAACTGTATAAAGCCCCTTTCAGATGTCCCCCTCCCCCCTCAGGAAGGTCAGGCTTTTAAATATTATAGCACAAGCTTATTGGGTCCAATTGTAATGACAGGTGTATTGTTTTGAATACATTTTTATCTTTGATAATTCAGCAAAAAAATCTGGATTAATTTATGGGATCAATTGAGGGTCTGTACTCAAGGGTTTGTGCATTGTGGCACAAGGTGATACTGAAATCAGAGTAAGGATATTTAAATGTCCTTTTGGTGCTCTTATTTATTTGCTAAGGTTAAATACCCTAACTTCTTCTTTGGCAGATCCGCAAAATAAAGGCTACTGAAATTTCAGTAAAATTCAATTAGAAAATAAGTATGGGGAAACATCTATAGATTTTTGTTGTTTGTGTAACTTTTTGCAAATGACACAAAACTTTATGGGTAGAACTCTTGCCAAAAAAAAAATTTGCTGCATGCAATAGAATTAAAGATACTTGTGGGTTCAATTTTGAATGTTTCACTTAGATCAAAACAAAAATTAAAACTGCAGCCATATGTATTTTCACTTAAAGTAAATATTGTTCTGTGAGATTTGCTTATAAGTAAACATGTTTAGGGCCAGACTGTTGGTATATGTGTGTTTTCTACAGATTAAAAACAATACTTGTCATTTCATATTTTTAGACATGCATTTAATTAAGCACTTTCATTTTCATTTTAATGTGTTTTTTTTACAACAGTAGATTGATTTTCCTTTTACATAACCTCTATTTTTATGTACTAACATATGCAATAAATTGATAACACCTACAATTGCTAATAGCCTTTTCTGTGTGTTTGTTTTGTTTTCAGAATAATTATCTGTCAATTTCCTGTAGTTTCAAAATGTAGAATAAGCCATCAGTTGGGCAGCAGCGGAAAATAATCTCTTAACACTTACAACACTGCCAACTTAATCTGTTATACATTCAGTTCAGATAATTTTAAAGGCACATATGACTTGAGTAAGGATTGATTGGTGTTTGGTGTAGTAAGCTTATCCTTTTTTTGGTCAGCGCATCAGAATTGTTTTCAGATAGATTCTTCTTCCTTACTTCAATATGTTGTAACATGGCATATTAATACGATTACTATTTCACATCCTGCAGTTTCTCTTGTTATGCTGCTGCCTAATCCTGGCACCTGAATATTTCACTTTTGAATGGTGATGATTTCAAAAGGCAAACAGGCTCCAAACTCCGGGAATCAACTCTTTGGGCTTCAGGCTCCCAGGCTTTCTTCCCACCACCCACTCCTTAATTTGGGAGGTTGGGAGTGAATTGAAGAAGTTGAAGTTGACCTGGAAAGGAGAAAAAGGGCCAGACATTCATCAAAATTGCACAAATTCTCAGGAAGCACTCAGGATGCTGGTGGTAACAGCAGAACCAACACTATGATGCTGATGCTGCAATCGCTTAGAGAACAACTCCATGCAGTCACAGTGGCAAAGACTGGAAAAAATGAATGCTGATCTTGTCAACTGCAGAGCCCCCGTGTAGTTTGCTGACTCCCCTCCCCCCTCCGTGCCATTGCAAATTATTGTGAGGGGCAGGCATAGAAAAATGGTACAAAGGTGCATCAGGTGGGTGGGCTGTTGGTTCACCACCTGTATTCTATGACAGCAGAGGCTTCCTTCTCTCCCCTTTTAGAATGAAAGCTGGAAATTCAGGCCAGTTATTTGCCCAAAGACATCCAAGCAAACCCTAGAAAATTGGGTCTTACAGCAACCCTTATTTTTCTAATCAAGAAATATGGATCTAGTTCTTTTACTCTGAAAGACTACTAACTGATACAGTTCTAATATACTTGCTTTGCATAAGAAGTGAACATTACAAGGATTATCATCCTGTAGATGGCAGTGTTTCATTTATACTTTTGATATGGCTTCGCCCAAATAAGTGGCATGGACATGGTACTGTAGTGTTTCTGTGGATCTTTCTACTTAGACTTGGTATTTACTCTGGAGGAGTGAAGGATGTAACTCAATTTTCAGAAACTGCAACTGACTTTTTCCATTGTGTGGAAACTGCTTCAGGGAACTGATTGAAATGTTGGCCATTTCAAGAAACCAGAAACTTGCACAACCTGGGGTGGAGAGGCAGGTAAGCAAACCATAATGATCTGAGTAAGAGTATCAAACAGCAGCCATAAAAATTTAGATGAGCAATAGAGGGGCACATAGAGAAGGGCCTCAGAAGATGCTCATAAGGTCCAGGTATATTGCTGTTAGGAGAGGCCTGTATAAGACACAAGCTGTATAAGGCTTTACATGTTAAAACCAGCTCCTTGAATTATTAGTAGTATTGGTATTATTATGTGACTTGTTTGTCACTTGTTAGAATCATAGAATCATAGAGTTGGAAGAGACCACAAGGGCCATCGAGTCCAACCCCCTGCCAAGCAGGAAACACCATCAGAGCACTCCTGACATATGGTTGTCAAGCCTCTGCTTAAAGACCTCCAAAGAAGGAGACTCCACCACACTCCTTGGCAGCAAATTCCACTGTCGAACAGCTCTTACTGTCAGGAAGTTCTTCCTAATGTTTAGGTGGAATCTTCTTTCTTGTAGTTTGGATCCATTGCTCCGTGTCCGCTTCTCTGGAGCAGCAGAAAACAACCTTTCTCCCTCCTCTATGTGACATCCTTTTATATATTTGAACATGGCTATCATATCACCCCTTAACCTCCTCTTCTCCAGGCTAAACATGCCCAGCTCCCTTAGCCGTTCCTCATAAGGCATCGTTTCCAGGCCTTTGACCATTTTGGTTGCCCTCCTCTGGACACGTTCCAGTTTGTCAGTGTCCTTCTTGTTACCCAAAGGCCTCAGCAACTTAAAACATACCACAAAAACACAACACCAACACCCCCATAACAGGAAGCTTCACAACCACACTTGATAACATAATATCATCTCTCTCTGGGGAAAATATAAGTCTTTACCTGGTGCGAAAAACGTCAAGAAAAGCACTAGATGGATCTTACTGGGCAGAGCATTCCACAGGTGGGGAGCCACAATGGAAAGGGCCCTCTCTGTTGTCACCACCCTCTGAGCCTCTCGGGAGGACGGACGGACGGACCTGGAGAAGGGCCTCAGAATAAAATGTAAGGGTCCAGGCAGGTTCATATTGGAAGACGCATTCCAGAAGATGTTGGGATCCTGAACTGCAAAGAGCTTTATAAGTCAAAACCAGCCAGCCATGTAGTTGTAACAGAATTGGTGTTATGTGATCAGCTTGCCTTGAATCTGTCAGTAGTCAGGCAGCCACATTCTCAACTTCTTTTCAAAGACAGTTTGGTGGTTGACCTGCTTTTGGAGGGTTTGCACTACCCCTGAAGGTACAAGTTTGTAGTCTAGCACAGTGTTTTTCAACCACTGCTGCGAGATGTTGCCTGGTGTGCCGTGGGAAAAATTGAAAAATTCGAAAGATTTAAAAATAAAGTATTTTATAATTTTTCATATTTCTGTTTACTTACTATTTCATAATAAAGTAATTATAAAATACTATCTTTGTGTTTATTGGATTCCTATTCAAGAGAATTACTTTATATATAGTCAATATAGGCACAGAGTTAAATTTTTTAACATTTTCCTAATGGTGGTGTGCCTCGTGATTTTTTTCATGAAACAAGTGTGCCTTTGCCAAAAAAAGGTTGAAAAACACTGGTCTAGCAGTACTGGATTTCAACTTGTCCCAAGTGGCTTATGCACAGTTTAGGCTCACCAGCCACACCTGTTCCTTTACAGGGATCGCCTCATCTCCCACCAGGAATATTGGACTGTGAAGACTGTCAGGAAGCTGCTACTAGCACAGAATACAGTTTCTATGTTGATGAGGGGGGCACCACAATGGGGCTGTGTGCCACAAGTCCTGAGACCGATGGAGAGACTGCCAGTGAGATACCAGACCCAATTCAATGTGTTAGCAGTGTTAGAAACTCAGATAAGCTAGGCACCAAATTCCTTAAACCAGGGTTGTAGTCCCCAAACAGAATGTCTAGAACTTTAAGAAGAAAAATCACTTTATCCATGGACAGTCCACCTAAAGACCTATGCCTACCTCTTTTTCTTAATGGTGACACGGACCATTCATAACATAATAATATTCTTCACAACTGTGGGCAGGGCAGTGGGGTGGGGTAAGTGAAGACAAGCTACAATCAACTATAATGTCATTCACTGGTCCTGCTCAGGCTGCACAGAAAAAGCATTTTGGTTCCTGAAATTCATTCTGATTGTGCAGATACAGTATAATGGACAGAATCCTACAGGATGTGGTATTAGTGTGTGAAAACAGTCAAGATCCATGATCCCCAGGCATGCATCTCCAGATGGCGGAGATGTCAGGCGCTATACTGGCCCCCAGGCATCTTCACTTGGTTGCAAGTGGCAGATAGTCAGGTGCAAAATGCGCCTGGCTAATTTCAGACACTGGGTACTAGTGTACAAAATCTTAAAACAAGTTGGGATCAACCTCCTTTGTTATGTTCAGAATTATTTTTTGTTTGGGTTGTATACAGTTACACAAGCAGTGTTAGCTATAACCAGCTGAATATTTTAAACAGGATTCATAAGAAAGTCTATTTTGGGAAGTATCCATGAGATATCTTAGCCTGCATTTTGCCAATGAAGTGACCTGTTTGATGGTTTTCAGACTTAGTTGATTCGTAGGATACAGATGTTATTTCTTACTTCGAATAAGCAAACTTCAGATCAGCCTTGGCTTAACTTTGCCACAAGGAAGGTGCTTGTACAGGGAGTCGTTCTGAGTGACTTTTACACTTTGCCTCCGGTGTGTAGCTGCTGCCTTTGGAGCCTGCACATCAGAGACAGGTTGTAATAGCCTCTCAAATCTACGCCCTGTATGAGGACCGTGCAGTGAACTGTCACCAGATCTGCCACCAGTTGTGGGGGCACCTGGTTGCAATGTCAGAGGTCAGTGCCGGTGCCACCGCATCAAATGAAATGTTTGCGCTGAGGGGGAAAGAGCTGGCCAGTGGGAGGGCAACTGTGGCAGGTACATTGTGGGGCCCAGCCCAGCCCAGCCCAGCCCAGCCCAGCCCCAAAGGCCTGGCCCTCGTGTGGCTTGCCTCTCCGCAGGGTGCCTGTTGCTGGGCAACCTCCCCCACAGCCCCAGTCACCCTCCATTACTTAGCAATGGGCCAGCAATAAAGCCAGCATGGCTTTCTCAAAAATAAGTCATGCCTGACGTGTGTGTATGGGGAATGCTCTCAATATACTATAGTGTGTCTTGATTTCGGTAAAAAAAAATTGACCAAGTCCGCCATGCTATTCTTCTGGAGAAGCTGAGAAAATGTGAGCTAGATGATGTTACTATGAGGTGGATTTGGCTGGTTGACTGACCAAACCAAGAAATTGCTCACCAATGGATTCTTGTTATCCTGGTAAAAAGTGACAGGTGTGGGTTCTCCAGGGTTCTGTCCAGGCCCCAATGTTGAGCAACATATTTATGATGGACTTGGATGGAGGAATAGTGGGAGATGTTCATCAAATTTGCTGATGACACCAATCGGAGAGGGGTAGCTAATACCACAGAAGATAGTATCAGGATTCAATATAATATTTATGGATCAGAGATCACTGCCCAAACTAACAAAATGAATTTCAATAGGGACAAATGTAAAGTTCCACACTTAGCTAGGAATAGCCAGGTACACAAATATAGGATAGGGGATAGCTGGCTTGCCAGTAGTGCATGTGAAAAGGATCTAGGGATCTTAATAGACCATAAACTTAACAAGAGTGACCTAATCAAGGGAAGTAATAGTCCCACACTATTCTACCTTGGTCTGGCCACACCTGGAGTCCTGTGTCCAGTTCTGGGCACCACAGTTTACAAAGGGTATTGACAACTTTGGAGGTGGGCAACCAAGATGATAAAGTGCCTGGAAACCATGTCTTATGAGGATTAGTTGAGAAATTTGGGTATGTTTAGCCTGGAAAATAGAAGACAGAGGAGATATAATAGTCATCTTGAAATATCTAAAAGGCTGTCACATGGACAATGGAGCAAGCTTGTTTTCTCCTGCACTGCAGGATAGGACACAAACCAATGGATTCAAATTACAAGAAAGGAGATTCCAACTAAAACAATGGGAAGTACTTTTTGACAGAAATAACTGTTCAACAGTGGATGGTGGTGGACTATCATTCACTGGAGTTGTTTAAACAGAGGTTGGGTGACCATCTGTCAGAGATTCTTAGCTGTGCTTCTTGCATAGCAAGGGATTGGACTAGATGACTCTTGGGTCCCTTTCAACTCTAAGATTCTATGATTCTAAACCCACTGTGATCAATGAGCCATTTCCATAAATTGGTATAGGGCTGCAGCCTTAGTGTATCAATAAGACATACATGGTCTAGGAGCTTTAACATAATAATTATTTCTTAGTGACTTTTGAAAAACAAGAGTAGCATTGTTAATTCCTGTAGTTTGATAGGATTTATATTTGATGATGTCAGAGTTTTAATCTTTCTGTTACTGGATTGTACAGTGGTACCTCAGGATGCGAATGGGATCCGTTCCAGAGCCCCGTTTGCATCCTGAACGGAACGCAAGACACGACAGCGCACGCGTGACATCATTTTGAGCGTCTGCGCATGTGCGAGCGGCGAAACCCGGAAGTAACACGCTCCGTTACTTCCAGGTTGCCACGGAGCGCAACTCGAACGCACTCAACTCAAAGCACATTCAACTCAAGGTATGACTGTATAAGAGGAAAATGAAAATACCTAATTATGTCATGTTTGGTACTTGGAGCCAATACATTGTATTCTCTGCACCTTGCCAAGAGTTTCCTACACAGCTTGCTATCTAAGAGTGCAATGGAATTCAAAATGACCAGACATTTGGATGTGGTGACGATCATACAAAGCTGTGTAGCTGAACTGCTATACATGAAGCTGAAACTGAAATGAGGAAGGTGAGTTGGGGAACTACAGAAACAGAGCCATAAAGCAGAAGCAAGCATTAAATGTCATGCATAGAGCATTAACAGACCCACATGACAGGAAGTAAGTGCTGTCTGCATTTTGGCCACATATCTTGGATGCAACTGGCAAGATGTAGTTATTCACCAGAAAGAATCAGCTGAAGTTTTCATCTGGTGTTTAAGAAAGGAGGCATGGCATTTATGACCTACACACGAGGAAAGAGCCATATCACCACCTCCCATCCTTTTAATGGCTTGGATCCTAAAGGGTTCTTACTATTATTTCTGGGGCTTGCAGTGTTCATGTCATCTTGCCTTGCAGCCGTCTCTTTCTACTATGTTACAGCATTAAAATCAGAACTAGCAATGCTGAGCAGCAAGCTGAACTGCAAGGTCCAGACAAGGACATCATTTCCACAGCTCTTGAGGTCTTTGGAAAAGAGCAAAGAGGCCAATTCCTTCATTCCCTACTTGAATGTATTAGAAGGTGCTTCTAGTCAGGTGAGCTGCAGGCCCATTTGGAAGGAAATGTATACTTCTTTGTGTGTTCTGCAATTTCCATTCGCTTTGGGGAAGGACAGGAGTCACAGCCCTAATATTGACTTTCTGCGTATGTTGTTGGCAGCAAATTTCTTCTGGACCACATCAAAGTAGTGAAGAGATAATGTGGAGTGGAGACAAGCACAGGGGGAAAAGGTCTCCTCTGCACACAGGAGAAGCAGGTAAGTGAAAAGAGCTTAGTAAAGAAGACAGGTCCCCAAGGAGTAAATGGGCTAACAAATATGAAAGCCAGAGATGGCATCTAAGCCTTTTTGCTGGGATTGTGGCATACAGCCAAAATTATGGTAATTAGGCATTTCTTTTGAAAATAGTACAGACGGAAGTACCTAGGTCTCAGAAAAAAAAAATGTGTGCTACTACAGCAGCGAGGATTTTGTTAGCCCAGAAATGGCGGGTGAGTGATGTCCTAAATAAGGAGGATTGGCAATTAAAAATGACAGAATATGCAGTTAGCAGGTCTAACGAATAAAGTAAGAGAACATAAAGTATATAAAGAATGGAATTTTTGTGGAGTATCTGGAAAACAACTATAACCATGTGAAAACATTAGTAGGAGTAAGGTAAATTCAACAGTATAACACATAACAAAGGAATAATAAAAGATTAAGGAAATTAAATGAAAATACAAGAATAGATGGGAGACTTAAAGGAACCAGGGAGGGGGAAGAAGGGAAGTCGTAAATGATTGGTTTATTTTAAAGAAAGATATGAATGGGGAAATGTTTATTTTAAAGTGAATGTGGTTTTGGAAAATGTAACATTGATACACACACACACACACACACACACACACACAGACACTGTGCTTTTTTCTGGGGGATGCAGTGGTATGCATTCCCCTAAACATTTTTTGAATCTTAAGTTTGGCCTCATTGAGGGGCAGTATTTCAATATGAGTAGGAAAATGAGAGCACCCCTAAATATTTTTTTAGAAAAAAAAGCAGTGTGTGTGTGCATGTGTGTGTGCGCGCGCACACACACACACTAGGGGTGAGAAATCTCAGACCCGGGGACCGAACGGCTCGATCCATTCCTTAGGACTTTCTCCTGGTCATGATTTTCACCAGCCCTGCTCTCCCAGCTCCCTGAGAGCTTTTGCCTAGCTGCAGTGTGTCCTAGAATTGTGCTTGCTTGCTCCACACCCTTCTACCTCTGGCCCTGCCCACTGCTAGCATGTGGCCTCCAGTGCTGGAGGAAGGGGGGCGGGGGTGGGCCACCCTGGGTGTTATCACTGAGGGGGGTGACAAAATGTTGGGCGGCACTCACCGCGGGGCCAGCAGCGCACCTGAGCCACGCGTCTCCCAAATGGTCCACCCGCCCCTCTCCCTCGGCTGTTGGGCAACTGCGTGGGAGGAGGCAGGCAGACTCCTCGGAGGCCCCGTGGAGCGTCCTGCTCCGGCTAGCCCCGCCCCCATGGGCAGCTGGCTCCGCCCCCACAGGCCCCGCCCCCAGGTGCAGGGCATGCGCGCCACCCCAGGCGCCCAATCAGCTTGCTCCGCTGGTAGTCTCCATAAAGTTTCCCACTTAGGTTGAAAAATGTTCCTCACACCTGGTCTGATCTATTGTTTTCACACATGGGGAACACTTCAACTCTGGTAGGTTCACTAGTGTTATTTTATCTATAGAAGGTGAACAAACTAACTATGCAGATTCATAGAATCATAGAATCATAGAGTTGGAAGAGACCACAAGGGCCATCGAGTCCAACCCCCTGCCAAGCAGGAAACACCATCAGAGCACTCCTGACATATGGTTGTCAAGCCTCTGCTTAAAGACCTCCAAAGAAGGAGACTCCACCACACTCCTTGGCAGCAAATTCCACTGTCGAACAGCTCTTACTGTCAGGAAGTTCTTCCTAATGTTTAGGTGGAATCTTCTTTCTTGTAGTTTGGCTCCATTGCTCCGTGTCCGCTTCTCTGGAGCAGCAGAAAACAGCCTTTCTCCCTCCTCTATATGACATCCTTTTATATATTTGAACATGGCTATCATATCACCCCTTAACCTCCTCTTCTCCAGGCTAAACATGCCCAGCTCCCTTAGCCGTTCCTCATAAGGCATCGTTTCCAGGCCTTTGACCATTTTGGTTGCCCTCCTCTGGACACGTTCCAGTTTGTCAGTGTCCTTCTTGAACTGTGGTGCCCAGAACTGGACACAGTACTCCAGGTGAGGTCTGACCAGAGCAGAATACAGTGGCACTATTACTTCCCTTGATCTAGATGCTATACTCCTATTGATGCAGCCCAGAATTGCATTGGCTTTTTTAGCTGCTGCGTCACACTGTTGGCTCATGTCAAGTTTGTGGTCAACCAAGACTCCTAGGTCCTTTTCACATGTACTGCTCTCAAGCCAGGTGTTCATTGAAGCCACATTGCTAAAATTTGTAAACAATACAAATACAAACAATACACAATATCTGTATTCTTTTACTATTAGCCTTCAACATGATTTGGTGGAAAGACACAATACAGAATTAGCAGGTAAATAAGTAATGGTTAATCTGTTCAAAAAACCAGAATACTGAATCTGTATACATCAATATATTCAGAAGCTGTTGGTATGTCATCATAAAAATCTGTACTATTTTGGAAAAGTAGATACATTATGTTTTGTGTTGGTTAAATCCCATTTTTGCTCAACTTAACACCTCTACCATAGCTGCCTTTCACTTTCTATATCTGTTGTATTTAAAGGAGCAAATTTTGAAGCTCAGAGCTTTTGGTTTGGTATGGTCTTACTCAAACAATAATTCCTCAAAAGGTAGTCAATAAAGTACTCATTTCAATGTTTGCTTTACTTCATTCTGCTAACTGAATTAATTTTTGTTCAGAATTGCAAATACCTGAGCTTAATGCCATGAAAATAAATCTGATGACAGAAAACCATTCTCCATTAACCTTTAATTTTTACAGTGGTACCTCGGGTTAAGAACTTAATTTGTTCCAGAGGTCTGTTCTTAACCTGAAACTGTTCTTAACCTGAGGTGCACTTTTGCTAATGGGGACTCTGCTGCCGCCACGCCACCGGCGCGCAATTTCTGTTCTCATCCTGAGGTAAAGTTCTTAACCCAAGGTACTACTTCTGGGTTGGCGGAGTTTGTAACCTGAAGTGTTTGTAACCCGAGGTGTTTGTAACCCAAAGTACCACTGTAATTTGTTTGAGCTCTGTACTACACTCAGCTGCATGAGGGTAATCTTCCATTTTAGACTATTCATACAAACTATAGGCAGTTCTGTAGGCCTACAAAGGCATCCCAGAACAATTACAATATGAAATCTAAAAACATACATAAAAAAACGAAATAAATAAATTTTGTAATGAACAAGTTATCAGAGTAACTTGTTTTTTACCACACTGAATAATTTGGTGTCATCTTGACCTCCTAAATTCACCCCTAAATTGAGTCCATTCACGAACAAGTTTCCTACTTCTTTGCCAGGCCCTTTTCCCTTGCATGACTTGTTCTGTTTTGATTGTTGGCCTGTGGGCATCGACTGCCTCCTTTTAATTGTGTGTATGTAGCCTGCTCTGGGATCCTTTGGGGCTGAAGAGTGGGGTACAAATAGCAAAAATAAATATTAGAAAACACTACTTTACAAAATATAGCAATAACGTAAGTTGGGTATGGGAAACTGGATCTGGCAATTTGGTAGGATCCTTATCCTTCTCAGCCCTTTTGTGCCACGTTTTGGCAGGTGGCTGAGGCCACTTGTCACATGTCAGTCACCTGGCATCACAATGACATGAAGCCTTGACAATCCATGGGCTGCAGGTCCCCCAACACTAGTTAGGAGGAGTAATTTGAGTTGGCAGGGGGCAGGGGGAATGGCAGGCAGCGGTGGAGCAAGCCAATCAGCGCCTGGGGCGGCGTGCGTGCCCTGCACCCAGGGGTGGGGCCAGCCACCCGCAAGGCGGGGCTAGCCGGGTTGCAGGGTGCTCCACGGGACCTCCGGAGTCTGCCTGCCTCCTCCCACTCAGCCGCCCTACAGCAGAGGGGGAAGTGGTGGCGGGCGGACCATTTGGGGCAGTGTGGAGCCTGCGGGCGCCCAAGCTACCACGTCACTCCCAGGAGAGACGCGTGGCTCAGACACGCTGCAGGCCCCGCGGTGAGTGCCCCCCGGCATTTTGTCACCCCCCTCATTGGTGACACCCAGGGCAGCCTGCCCCCACCGTCAACCTACCATCAATATTGTTCTGCTTTTGCGGCTACTGCAGGGGAATTGTACTTTTGTGTCTCGGCTGCTGGGATGTATATTTTAGTTACTTCCTTCTGTTTCCCCCTTCAGTTCTACAGTCATGTCTTCAGTTGATGGCTGACAGCAAGCGTGACATTCAGCAACATGGTAATGCAGCATTTTTAAAATCTCATTTTACTCTTGCCACAAATAAATGGGCAGCACCACCTTTCACTTGCTACAGGGCAAGAAGCATCAAATTGTGCTCAGCTTTTCATTTCCATTAGTAACATCCCTTCACATTTCCAATGGGAATTTGCCAGCGCAGCCTTATGCTGAAATGGTGACCCTGTCTGCAAATCCTGTGAGCTGCTGCTTCACTGGAGCACATGCTCAGGTGAGCACTGTGTCTGAGTTCTGTTCCGTTGCTGCACTTGTTTTTAGTGCAGACAGCATCCCAAGAGACCTGGCTTGGTTCCTTCTGTTCCCCACTGTGAATTCAAAAGATTTTTGCCCTTCCAAATTTGTCAATTTCTTTTTCTAAAGATGTTAAATGCATGCCCTCTGTTGTGTTTCTGTGATGCCAAGAGGTGACCTTCCTCAAGACCCCTCAAATTGTTCTTTTTTCTTTTTCTTTTTTGAAAAAATGGCCACGCCCTCTTAGATAGTTGACTCATGGGTCAGTCTGGCTGTCAGCTCGAATGGGTGCATACAGTGAAATTCTCTGTGCATACTAGGGCAATCCACATTTTCTATTTTTGCTGCACTGCTGCAGTTGTGGGGACCCCCAACTTTCCAGAAATTTTTGAAAACATGAATAATCTGTGATGGGGAGAGGGTGCCTTATTCCTGGTGACCCAAGAGAAAAACAAGCAGGTATAAAGAAGTTGTTACCACAGCTCTTTGAATCTCATCTTACAGGTAGAAACGGCCGATTTCAACAAATCCAACTGATTCTCTTCAAAAGTCAGCAACATGCCTTTGGTACTAAAAGGAAGCATAAACGGATTAGCTTATTCTTACAAATTTTTTTTTGTTTCTTTTAGATGGTTCAAGTATAGTTCCATGGCTTCTTAGCTTTAAAAGAGGAACTGCTCTTGAAGAGCGAGGAAATAAAATACTTGTCAGAGAAACTGGCTACTTTTTCATATATGGTCAGGTAAAGAATTCAGTAAGCTCCTGGAGTTTGTTCTGTTTTCTTCAAAGTTTCCTAGTGTAATCTGTTTTGTCTGTCTTTATTCTTCAGGTTTTGTATACAGATGAAATGTTTGCAATGGGACACTGGATCCAGAGGAAAAAAGCTCATGTAGTTGGTGATGATCTCAGTTTGGTTACATTATTTCGTTGCATCCAAAACATGCCTCTCACTAATCCTAACAACTCTTGTTATACTGCTGGTAAATACGTTACCTGTCCTAAATACATTTTGTCAAGTCCCCCACACGTGGAATGAGAAGGAGCTTAAAAAAAATATCTGACACAGTGTTTCTAAGTGGTGTGGGTGTGTACCACATATTTCTGCAACCATTCACTGAAAACTCATTAAGTTTCATACATAAATTCCTAAATTCCTTATCTTTACCTACTCTGTGGTGGTTGCCTGTGAACAGTATTCAAAGACAGTAATAGATTCTCCTCAGTGGAGTTGTAGCTGTTATTTCAAGCTACTTTCAGCAGAATGTGCTCAGTAATTTTGAAGCCTGAGTGCAAATGCTTACCTGGGTGACAAAGAGTCTCTGTGTGGTGGAGGAACAAGTCACATGACTTCCTGCCCTTGAAAAGTGTGTGTTGGAGAACTTGCATGATTAACTGTCTATAAGCAATGCTCACATCATACTTAAGATCTGTTGTGGGTAGTTTAGAGGTTCTGTTTCCTGTTCCATGACCTGAAAGCTGTGGCCACCAACTTGGGCCTCAGTTTTAGAAGTCAATCTTTATTTTTTAATATTTTATTGCATTTATATATTGCACTTTCTCCAAGGATCTCAGGCAGTATATATAATTGTCCATCCCTTTATCCTCTCAAAAATCCTATGGAGTTAGGAAGAGAGTCACCCACCCAGACTGATACCATATGTGTCACACAGGTGTTGCTTCCCAACACTTGCTGGAGACCCACACAGTCTCTTTCCAGGTATTATGCTGTACTTGGGAAGATAAAATGTTTGATTTGTTGCATTATAAGTTTTATTTTACATCCTGGGACCTTATTATTAGCAACACAGCAATAACAACATTAAATCAAAGAGATGTCTCTGGACTGACTGATAACAATCTGTACATGTTTATATGTTTACATTTCTGTAAGGATATTCAAACTCTCTTGGCAGGTATTGCAAAATTAGAAGAAGGGGATGAGCTTCAGCTCACCATTCCACGGATGGGAGCCAAGATAGTCTTGAATGGAGATGCCACTTTTTTTGGTGCAGTCAGACTTCTGTGAAGCTCTTCATTGTACAAAGGGTTGGATCTGTTGCGTGTTTCATTTTTAGTTAGTTGGTTTATGGAGTACTGTTTTCTGTTTTATTGAAAACAGGAAGCTGATTGGATGTGGTACACCCACCTCATGTGGGTTACCAGAAATGAAACTTGTAAGAAGAATATAAATATAGCATTTGTTACATAAGAGCCTAAATAGAGCAGTCTTGAATCAGACCAACAACTGATCTGTGTTTGGTTAGTTTAGTGTTCTACTCCCTTACAGTGGCCACCTGGAAATGCAACAGCCCTCTCTACTGTTTGTCTCCCCCAACAGCTAGTATGGCAGGACTTACAATTTTCAACATCAATTGGGGAGATGCATTACTATTTCAGCAGAACGTGCCCTGTAGAATGACCACCCATTAGATGCCAAGGAAATATTTGACTTTTAGAAAACATCTGAAGGCAGCCCTGTACAGTGGTACCTCAGGTTAAGAACTTAATTCGTTCTGGAGGTCCGTTCTTAACCTGAAACTGTTCTTAACCTAAGGTACACTTTAGCTAATGGGGCCTCCTCCTGCTGCTGCGCCGCCGCCGTGCAATTTCTGTTCTCAACCTGGGGCAAAGTTCTTAACCAAGGTACTATTTATGGGTTAGCGGAGTCTGTAACCCGAGGTACCACTGTATAGGGAAGTTTTTTAATATTTGATGTTTTACTGTGTTTTTAATATTTTGTCTGGAGCTACCCAGAGTGGCTGGGGCAACCCAGTCAGATGGGTGGAATATAAATAATAAAATTATTATTATTACTATTTTATTTTTATTTTTATTCACATAGAGTGCAATAAAACTGTGAATTGTTGCACATGTCACAGAAGTACCCTTGATATTGAATTCCATGCATGTTCATAAATAAATAAAAATCATTGCAGTGGGATTTACATTTCAGTAAGTGTAAAAGATTGCAGCTTTCCAGCTTTCAGTTCAAAAGTTTTAAGAGTCAAGCAAAAAATGTGTTCCTATCAATAAATAAAATACTAACACACACAAACAGATAAAGGATGATCTCTGCAGCATCAAACTGTATTCCCCATTGGCCAACAAAGTAGTGCAAATATTGATGGCATTTTTCACTTAGATGACATTGAAGACTGTTAGGAATGTGGGGGAAGGAGGTGCACATCATGCGCAGGTTGCCATAAGACAGCTGAAGCCATTTTCTGTATCAGGCACTGGCGAACTGTCAAACTGAAAGGCTTGTGGTATTTCAGTAATTGCAAATGCAACATTATATTAAAACATTGCGAATAAGTGTCAACATATGTGGTAAGAATGAATCTGGCATTGGAGGGGGCTCCTATCCAAATCTAAGGTTCTGTGATTCTATGATAAAGAACAGCGTTCTGACATAATCTTCCTAAACACTGTCGTAATGCAGGGAGCCACAGTATGGGGAATAAATTGCTCAAAGGTAAGCGGAGGCAACATCTTCCCAATGAGGAGGCCACATTCCGTCCCTGCACCAGCAGCCTTCTGTCTGTGTAGCTTTTGCACCCAATTCATTGTTTAGAACACATCAGGAAAGAAATGTGAAGCTACAAACAGAAAACAGCTTAGTAAAGATCAGTCACAAAATAAGTATTTCATTCTCTCTAATGTTAGAACTCTTTGCCTTTTTATTACAGACCAGTCTACAGCCGCAAATGTTTACCAGCAAACACTTTAAGTCTAGATTGTTCTCGGCCTTAGGGTTAGGGGACTAAAGTTGGGTTAGGGATTATGGTTGGGGTTAGGGTTTTATGGTTAGGTTAAGGTTGGGGTTAGGGCTTTAGGGAAGCCTTTCTTCCTCCGAATGGGACCGGGAAGCATGAGCCTTCCCAGGGAGTAGACCCTGGGGCACTGGACACAATGTCACACTCTGCCTGAGGTAAACCTGTAGGTCTCAAGGAGGCCATGGGCTGCTAGACCTGGTAATGCTGTCAACCCCTCCGCCAGGTAGACCGGCATCTCCCTGCCCTCCGGTGGGTAGACCGGCAAACCTTCCGTCCTCTCAAAGGGACCAGGAAGCCCAAGCCTCGCCAGTGAGTTCACCGGGGTCGATGGCAACAGGTTCATAAAAACTGTTCAGTAGAGTTGGTCATGTCACACAAATGAATTAGATTAAAATTGCATCGGGTTGTATTCAGCACAGCAACCCCTAAACCTGTTCTAGTGGTTCCCTCAACCACCTGGAGCAGATTTGGGGAGGGCAGGTGGAGCGTGTGCAGAGGAGAATGCAAAAAATTCCCAAGGTGCAAACTGAAATTGCTCCACTCACACATTTAGTTGAATACTGCCCACTGCATTGACTTGCTTCTAAAAATAAAAGATTATATGGATGTGCAAGCTCCAAAATACGTCTGCCTATTTTAATTTTTATTACTATTGGCAGTTGCCAGCTATACCAAAGGTGAATCTCAGAGAATGCAGACCATGATGAGGGTTGTGTAAACCATCAGAAAAATAAAGCTTATTTCTATACTAGGCTAAACTCATTTACCTCACAAGGAAACAAGCAGATTCTTCCAGCTTGCATACATTTAGGCAAACATCCACATGTATTTTGCCAATGCCAATCTGCAAACCAAATTAAAATCTTGCTTAGACCTTGCTTCCGATTTTTATAAGCAATTTACAGTCATACATTATCTAGAACAGAGGCTCCCAAATTGTGGTCCATGAGCTTCATTCAGGTGGTCTGCCTTAATATTCACTTAAATTCTTAATTGTAATTTTTGTTGCTTCTTTTATTTCTCATATTGTAGTTCTCATATTTGAGTTCTATGGAATGCAAACTGTAGTACAATGAAACACAAATAAAAGCAATAACAGAAATTCAATTAAAGACCATACATTGTCTCATTGCAGAATGTTACAATTGCTACAACAGGTAGAAAAGCCATTAAATGGTCCACAAAGACCCTCAGCAATTTTCAAGCGATCCATGGAAGTTTGGAAACCACTGATCCCCTTGGAGATGTGGCTACGGAGTCCTGGTTGTCATGATGAGCTCACACACGTCTCAATTTATCTCTATGTCACCACACTTTAGAAAGATGACTTCAGTTTCAACAACAGAAATATTTGTGCAAAGGTCTATTATTTATTTCATCTTTTAAAATCACCTTAAAAATAAGTATTTACACATAAAGTATAAAAACCACGAACAGTTTTTTGGGGGGAGGGGCTTTAAAAATATTTATTGGTGCAAATTGTAGACCTTCACAAAGGACTTGATCTTGGATCGCTTGGCAATCATTTTTAATTTTTTTTATTAAGATTACAAATTTTAACATAATCAAAAAATCAAATTACCATACATTTTTCAATTTCAATTAACGCCCCCCTCCCACAGTGACTTCCCCCAACTTCCCTTTCTGGTTTATAGCATATTTGTTTCTTCTGCTTATAGTTTTGATGCCTTATATACTGAAATTAAAATTGTATTATTATTTATTCTTAACATTTTTACCTCATATTAATATATGTCCATTGTAAGTGTATTACTCGAATCCTGCAAATTAGTTTATTTCAGTGCATTGTTTCTGTATATATATCATAAAAGGTTCCCAATCTTTTAAAAGTCATTATTGTCCTTATCTTTGAGTCTCTCAGTTAACTTTGCCATTTCAGCGTATTCCATCAACTTTTCTTGCCAATGTCCTTTCGTTGGTATGTTGTTGCTTTTCCATCTTTGAGGTAGTAGAATTCTGGCCGCTGTTGTCGCATACATAAATAGATTCTTATATTTTGGTAAATATTTCCCTACAATATCTAATAAAAATGCTACTGAACTTTTAACAAAGGTTAACTTGAACATTTTTTTCATTTCATTATAAATCATATCCCAATACTTTATAATTATTTTACAATTCCACCACATATGAAAAAATGGCTGTCTTCCAGACTGAGAATTTTTCTATGAGGCAAGCTGCATTACTTGGATACAGGATCGGGTCAAATTAGAAAATACTGATTTATTAGATCTGGAAGGACATACCCACTTTTGGTTTGAGGCTCTTGAAAGGGAAACAGAAAAAAGAGGTAAGACAAAGTGGGTGTGTAAATAATCCTAGGCCATCTTTTCTTTTTACACCTTTCAGAGTGGCTGACAAAATCATTTAAAGAAGATCAAAATATTAATATTCATAAAGATAATTATGAAAAATGTTGGAATGATAAAAAGGAATCTAGAAATATGGGGAAGAATGAATCTCTCCTTATTCCTGGAAGATAACATAGTCTTGCCTTTAAAAAAATCTAATGAATAAAATATTGGAAGAAGGTAAAATTCCAATGTCATGGCAAGAAGCAAATATTGTATAAATTCATAATCAAGGAACACCAGTAAGTAACTACAGACCCATCTCACTATTAAACAACAATTATAAATTATTTGCGGGCATCCTGGCCAGCAGACTCAAATTAATACTAAAAGATACTATTAATTATGATCAATCGGGCTTTCTACCAAACAGACATATGAAAACAAACACTAGAGTGGTTATTGATTTAATTGAATATTTGGAATAAAGACCTAGCAAAAAAGTAGCATTTATGCTAATAGACGCCGAAAAAACCTTTGATCTTGGGCCTTTCTGCAAAAAACGATAGAACTATCAGCTCTTGGAGAAAAATTCTGTAGAGGTGTCAAAGCAATATATAAAAAACAACAAGCCAGTTTAATAGTAAACAACACCAAGACCAATATTATAAAAATTGAGGATTTAAAATTTCAAGAGTTAAAATGAATAATAAGTACTTGAATAATTAGTATTAGGTGTGACGCAGCATTACATTAAAACTGACAAACTGACCAAAGAATTCAAGGCATTTGGCTAAGACTAAACAATAGTGCTCTGATTGATTATACATGCAAGGCCACCAGCAGCAGCTCACTGGAGATATGCCAGCTTCCTGGGATGAACTTCCTGCTTCAAGCATGCCTCAACAGAGCTAGGTTAAGCTTCTACACATCAGAAGGTCCCTTTCTACAGTGGCACCCTTCTAGCCATTCCCAGGCGTCCTTCACCCAATTTGATTACTTAACAGCTGAGACAAGAAATGTGGAAGAGCCACCAGTTTTCCACCAAAGGTCCCACAACATTTAAATTTTTAAATATTAACTTGAACTCCTCTGCTGATGCAGAAGAAGCAGATGGTGTCACCAGCATCTCGGTGACAATCCATATTTTCTCCTGCTCCTCGTTTTCAAGAGCCTTCTCCTCTTCAAGGATCTGTGCCAGCTGGGACTGTGATGAAACCAGAAAGGGAAAGCTTCAATACCAAAGGTTGAAAGGCACACAATGTTCCTAGTAAGGATAGGATATCCATGTGCTTTGGTGTAGACCCCTTCTTGCTTGTGAGGATTGTGGCTGTTAATTTGTATATTACAGTGGTACCTCGGGTTACATACGCTTCAGGTTATAGACTCCGCTAACCCAGAGATAGTGCTTCAGGTTAAGAACTTTGCTTCAGGATGGGAACAGAAATTGTGCTCCGGTGGTGCGGCAGCAGCAGGAGGCCCCATTAGCTAAAGTGGTGCTTCAGGTTGAGAACAGTTTCAAGTTAAGAATGGACCTCCAGAACGAATTAAGTACGTAACCAGAGGTACCACTGTACTGTGATGGTAATAACGTACTATAAGTACTAATGGCTGTGAAGGTTAAACATCAGCATTAAACAATGAAAGCATTTAAGTTCCTCAAGTCAGTTCTATTAAATTAAGTCTGCAGCACCCCCAACAACAACCGATTAATGCACATCCGAAAGACATGCAATTGCATATGGCAACAAACCTGGAAGTGACCCAAAAACTTTGCTCAGCATGTCACGAGAAGGGCGTAACAGGGCTGGGGTACACTTATATATGCCCCTCCACCGTATGTGGGGCCGGGAATAGAATCCCTGCACAAAATGGTTGTCAACTTTATTCAGGGTTGCCATTAAAATTTGGCCAGACTCTTAAAATAGAGAGTGCATCTAAACACAGATTACGGCCGCCTCACTTCGTGTAGGCAGCTGACCCGAAACAGAAAAAGTTTTATAATCCGAGTCACTAACTAAAAGAATGCTATGCTTTTAAGGTGTAATTGCTGGCAAAACAGAGCATGAACCCTATTTAAAAACGAAACAAAAAAAATGATATAGATGCAATTTGACCTGTTCCAGCCTAGAACTCAGATTTCAAAGTAAACAACTTACTTCTTCTAGACTTCGTTTCAAGTCTGCTATTTGTAAACGATCTCTCTTCAGATTTTCCACATTTTTTGCTATTGTAGCAAACTAGGAGAGATAGGCACATGCAGTCAGAACCACTCTTTGAAGGAGAAGTCAGAAAAAAATTACCGGTACCTTTGTTAAAATCTCTTTTCGAAAATTACAGAAGTATGGAATTTTAAAAATCAACATTTGCTATTACAGTAAATGCAAAAGGGACCCATTAAACGAAATGTTGCAGCATACCTTCACCTCTCATAGATGGGAGAAGCCTAGGTTAGCCAACCTGGTGCCCTCTAGATGTTGTTGAACTACAACTCCCATCATCTGACCATGTTGACCATGGCTGATGGGAGCTGGAGTCCTCCAACATCTGGAGGGCAACAGATAAGCTATCAGGAGCTCAAGGAGGCCCTTCCCCCCACCTTTCCTTTTCTGCCTGATATTCGAGACTCCATGACTACCATGAAAGCTTAATCTTCATAGACTCTCTTTTTAAGAGTTGGAGGGGTTGCTTCTGCAAACATCAATATCCACCCCAGCTATTAGAGGAAGTGCTACATTACTTCCCTTTGAAGAGGAAAGTCTGATTTCTCACAGTTCTATAACTGCAGATACATACACTAGAACAAAGCATGCCAGTTTAAAGAGGGAAAGAACTTCTTGCCTACTTGCTACTTTGGGGAACTTTGCCCACAAAACATTTCGGGGAAGGAAACGGAACGGTCTACTTTTACCTGGAGAGTGCTAAGAGTTTCTTCCAAGGATGTCTGAGGGACTGTGCAGATAATCACCGTCTTAGTATTTCCATCTAGTGAATTCTGGAGAATCCACGTCAGCTTGCTACCCCTGTAGTTAATGTAGTCTCTGGTGAAGGAGGATGACCAAAAAGAGAACAAGGAGGTTTTTACTTATTAAGTAGAGGCAAAACTGGCCCAAGAGCCGATCTTTTACATCTAGGACAGAGACAGCCGATGTGGTGCCTTCCAAAAGTTGTTGGATGACAACTCCCATCAGGCCCGGACAGATGACCAATGGCCTGCGGTAGTGGGAATTGTAGTCAAACAACTAGGGGTGGCACTAAGTTGGCTACCTGGTCTAGAATCAAGTGAGAACACTTTTCAATAAGAGGAGTTTGGATTTGATATCCCGCTTTATCACTCCCTTTAAGGAGTCTCAAAGCGGCTAACATTCTCCTTTCCCTGCCTCCCCCCCAACAAACACTCTGTGAGGTTCTTAGCTTCTTGGAGGAAAGGTGGGATATAAATGTAGTAACATGGGCATTGTTTAGTCTGCACCTCTTCAGCACATTCCAGCAATGTCAATGGAACTTGCTTTTGAATAAGCATTAGGACTGCTGTGCCAAACAGACTTGAAACCCAGAGCAGCTGAATTTCTGCAGCTGCTATTTCCCAGGCAGAAACAGCCCCATTAAACACTTCAGAAGTTCATGAGCCTTTCACAGTCCCAATATAGTTGGCTCTGCCGGCTACATCTCAAGCAGAAAGCACACAAGGCTGGCCCAATATATTTTGCTGCCTGAGCCGAAGCAGAAGATGGCACTCCTCCCACCCCACCTCTTTCAGTATGGTCCCAAGACAAAATCCTATACTTCAGGGGTTAGCAACCTTTTCCAGCTGTGGGCCGGTCCACCATCCCTCAGACCATGTGGTGGACCGGACTTAATTTTTTTGGGGGAAATGAACAAATTCCTATGCCCCACAAATAACCCAGAGATGCATTTTAAATAAAAGGGCATGTTCTACTCATGTAAAAACACGCTGGTTCCCGGACTGTCTGCGGGCCGGATTTAGCAGGCGATTGGGCAGCATCAGGCCCATGGGCCTTAGGTTGCCTACCCCTGCTCTACTTCATCTTAGGGCGGCAGTGTAGCTTAGGGGACAGAGCGGGTCCTTTGGCACACAAACCTCTTTCCGCCAAATGTTAAAGCATTAGGGGCTTTCAGAGGAAAGGCAAGTTAAGGAGGGACCTGACAGAGGTGTATAAGATTATGCATGGTATCATTGGTCTGATCCAGCAGGATGTTCCTGTAACGCACACAAGCAGCAGCATCCTCCAATGGTAGTTTTTTCTGCCAACCCCCATTTACAAACCTCTCTTCTATCTTTCAAAGAACTCACCAAGTGAGATATCATTACTGCGCCATCATAGCTATCTCTTGCTTTCAATTATCTTTTAAAAAAGAAAGCAAAGTTGTGAACTTATTTTACCATCACAGATTATAGACCAACAAAAACAGCCACCACTAATACCAGTTTGCAACGTGCGGGTCAGTATATACAGTAGCACACCTGCCCTCGACCAACAGAACCTAGGACTGGCGTATCTTGTGGAATGCTCTCCTCAGGGAGGCATGCCTGGTGCTTCTGTTACATATTTTAGGTGCCAGGCAAAAATATTCCTCTTCTTCTAGGCCTTTGGCTAATTAAACAATCTATGGTCTTTTAAATGATGTGTGTGATTTATTGTTTTTGTTTATTATTATAGCAATTTTTTTTTGTTTTTTTACACTGTAAATCGCCCAGTGGTAGAAATGTAAAATAAAATAAAATAAAATAATAATAATAATAATAATAATAATAATAATAATAATAAAAACATCCTCGCAGCCACAACCAATCGCCCGAGCCACCAATGATCTCCCCACAAGACGATCCACATCAGCCAACCCGGGGGCGGGGCTGGCCGCCCGAGGGGGCGGGGCGAACATCCAAGGGGCGGGGCGAGCGTCTCGAGGATGTCCCGCCCCCCTCGGGGACGGCCCCCGCCCTCTCCCTGCCTGCCCAATCTCTTCGGGGAAAAGCCGCCTCTGCCCTCCCCCGGGGCCGTTTCCGATTGGTCTACTGGGGACGGAGGCGCTCAATCCCCGCCCACAAGTTGCTCCGTAGTAATGTCTAAGGAGAGGGCGGGTGGGCGAATCGATCTCAGGCGCCTGGGCGGGGGGAGGCGAGGAGAGAAAGGGCGCTCGATCCTGCAGGAAGGCCCAGAGGGAGGTTCGAGAGATTCGAGGCGCCTTCTCGTCCCTCGGGAAATGAGTGAAAGGGGGGGGGGATACTTCCCTGGCTTCCCCCTTCGTCTTGTTTTCACAGGGCCCTGGTGGTGCTGGGGTTAAAAAGATTCCTCGGTTCTCCCCCCCTCCGCCCCGTCGGGTGGGTCAGGCCAGGCAGGAAGCCGCTTCCTGATTGGCTGCATCGGATTCTCAGCGCGTGGATGACACGCGTCCCCTTCAAAGCGCTGGTGTTGCTCGTGGAAGTAACTGCTAAGCCTCTTTGGCTCCGGCAGCGCCTCCAAAGCGTCCTGGGCTGGGCAGGCGGAGCGGGGCATCTTCTCCTGGTTCTGGAGAGCAGCTGACGGAAAAGTCCCGCTGCTCGCAGGAGATTCTCTCTTCTCGCTTCCCGCCCTTGTCCAGGACTCGAGGCGCCTTCCAGAGGGAGGAAGAGCAGCAACGGGGAGCTCAAGGTCCCGCTCCTCTTGGGGAGGAAATGCAGGAAAACCCCCCGAGGGGCCCTTCCCGTCCCCCGGGCGGACCGCTCGCTCTAACCGCTGGGCGCTCCTGCCCAGTCCCAGCCTCTCCCCCCCTCCGAGATGGCGCCCGCCTCTGCAGGGACGACGCCCGCCCTCTCCCTGCCTGCCTCCTCCGGCCGGGGAACTGCGCCTCTTCGCCGCTCGCTGCAGGCTTGGGAGTCGCGGGAACTCCCCTTTCCCACCCCCAGAAACTCACCTGCCAAGCAGCACGGGGACAGGGACGCCGCCGCCGCCGCCGCCGCCTTCCTCCCCCATCTCTTCGGGAAACAGGGCTTCTGCCCTCCATTTAACTCCCCCTGGGGCCGTTTCCGATTCCGAACGTAGATGCTCAATCCGCGACCACAAGCTGGACCCATTGAAATCAAAACAAAAAAATTCCTTCCAGTAGCACCTAAGTTAGTTCTTGGTATGAGCTTTCGTGTGCATGCACACTTCTTCAGATACACTGAAACAGAAGTTGCCATATCCTTCTATATAGTGAGAAGGTGGGGAGGGGTATTACTCAGAAGGGTGGTGGGAAAGGGTGATTGGCAGATAGCTGTGATGAGCCTGTTGAAATCAGCTGCTTGTCTCCCTTTGAGAATGGGGAGGCGGGGGCGCAGGCGGGGCTGATTGAGATCCGCTTCACCTGCCGGTCTCCCTTTCACAATGGGCGGGGGGGGGGGAGTTGAAGCTAGAGGAGAGAGAGGCAAAATTGCGCACGCTTTAAAGACCAGAAACGCCACACAGGACAAACTCGTTTTTGAAAAAACGTCCCTATGAGGCAAGCGAGGCTGTATTTCCCAAACCTGGAGGCGGAAGAAACCAAGAAACGAAACAGAACAAAACAGTCTTGATTTAGAAACCCCGCTTCCCACGGGATGGGGAAAGAAGCTAAAGACACGTGTCAAATCGTTTCAATAAAATAGCACGCGAGCCTGACTTCATGTTAGGGAGGACACTGGTGTAGGAAGGTCAAGTGGTACCTGGTGCGGATTTTTTTTTGTCAACCCCCCCCCCATTGAAATTTGTTAAAGAGAGCTGCGCAGGCGATCACAATGCGATCTCTCCCTCCACCCCCCTCTGTCAAAGAAAGCTGTTATGTACTGAGTTGAATAGGATCCAAACTGCAGCAGTCTGATTGGTCCTAGAACAATAGGATCCGAAATGCAGCAGTCTGATTGGTCTTAGAACAATAGGATTCAAAATGCAGCAGTCCGATTGGTCCTAAAACAATGCAGCAGTATGATTGGTTGGCAGGAGCTACCCAATCCAGCTCCAGATAGAAGTGATTCCACAACCTGATTGGCCTACAGGGGAATTCCGGAATTAGCCAACCACGTGCAGCCCATTGTGTAAATAATGTATATAAAGCAGATACTTTGAGGGGACTTCCATTCCCTCCTCACCACTATGAGCTGAATAAAGAGCATGGAATCCACTCTTGACTCATATTTCAAAAGCCATGCAGGAGATGCTGCTGGTGGTCGTCATCCTGCCTTGCCTCCTCAGAGACAGGGCTCCTTCTCGCCTCCCTCATCTCCTCTCCACCCCTAAACCAGCGATCTCTCTCTCTCCCCCCTCAAACCAGCTGGACTGCACAGCTCTCCTAGGCCCAGCTTCTCCTTGCCCCCACCCCCAAACCAGCAAGACGGCTTGAGCACATAACACCATTCCTGGCCTGACTACACTGGCTACCAGTTAGTTTCCAAGCCCAATTCAAAGTGCTGCTTTTGACCTGTAAAGCCTTATGCAGTTCAGGACCCCAATACCTCAAAGACCACCTCTCCCCATATAAAGCAGGAAGATCTGGAGGGTGGCAGTGTGAGAATGGACCTTTTCAGTGGTGACTCCCTGTTTGTGGAATGTTCTGGCACCATCATTATATAAAAATCCTTTATAACCAGGCCTTTGCCTCTTAATTATCTTTGGCCTTGAGTGGGTGGAATGTTTTCATCCTGCCTTTTAAAATAGGATTTTCCTTTAGGGTCTTTATTTTTTTCTTTTATGCTGGTTTCAATGTATGTGTTTGTATGTACATATATTAAAAGTTGCTTTGAATTACCTTGGTAAAAACCCCCAATAAAATTAAATAATAGTAATAATAACACTGTCTTTTTGAACAGAACGATACAGAGCACACTTAAATACTGTGCTAAGCTAACTGTCCCAGAACCATGTACTCCCTCTAACTGGATTGTATGAAAATAAACTCTGAACATAACCTCATATTGGCCCTGTTCGAAGAGCTGCATTTTATAGTACTCACTTTAGTATTTTAAGCCCTAAATAACTTAGCCCAGCGCCCCCAAATTACCACAGATAGTGTTGGGGTGGCTGTAGCTGTGCACTGCCAGCCATTGGGGGGCAGCTCTCCCCCATGCTGCTGTGGGAGAGCGGTTTCCACAGAAGCTTGGGAGGCAAGCTGCGTGCCCGCCAGCCTTACGGTTGACGGGGCGCAGCTGGCAGGCGTGCAGGGAAAGGGGAGGCTGCTGGCAAAGCCATGCAGTCCACTTGCTGGGGCGCTCCTGAGAGGCCGGCGTCCTGGCGCAATGCACCACTAAACCCTATGGGAAAGACGGCTCTGACCTCAAGCTTACAGTTGGAGAAACGGGCTATCGGAAGCCAGGACTGCTGTACTATTGGCTGTGGGATCGGGTCAGGGTCTTGATGCTGGTGGTTCAGAGCCTGAGCCCAGGCCTTCATGGATGTAATACTTGAGCCTGACTTGACAGAGAAATATAGTCTCTCTCATACTTGCATATGCATCCAGCGGCTCAGGGAGCATGTCAGGTCGGAGATCACAGAAAGGAGGAGAGATGCTTGTTGTCAGGCTAGGGCTTTGGCCCTTTAATAATAATAATAATAATAATAATATTTTATTTATACCCCACCCTTCCCAGTTCAGAAAACGGCTCAGAGCGGCTAACAACAAATTTAAAACACTTAATTGTAATACAACATAGAAGCAGCATAAAATACAGTATAAAAGCATGAATAGCAACAAAATTCAAAGTTCAAAAATCAATTGGGGGGAAATCCATCCAATAAGATTCACAGTCTTCAGGCCTCAGCTTTAGAAGGGTGAACAGGTGAAAGAGACTCCTAAGTCTTCAGTCCCCCTCCAGTGTTTCTTGAAGCAAGTGACTCACTATCCATTATTCTGCAGCCACCAGATGGCCTTGACCTCTTGGGTACCAGTTTTAGATGAGTCTCTCCCATGGCTCCCTGAATGTTCCTTGCTGCTGTTGCTTTTGCCACTGATGTTGATCCTTTGTTTTGGGGTGCAAATATGATAGGTCTACCCCATGCAATGCCCACCAAATAACTGTTTGGTGGGCTGGAAATATTGTGGTTGGGTTGGGGAAAGGTAAAGGATAAACTTTAAAATGGGCAACGGTATTAAAATGCATCAAAACAAACTACTCGGCAAGTACCTCTTCCCGCCACAAACCTTTAAGTTAAATCCAGAACAAGACAAGATTGGAAGACGGCATGGTCTCACTTTATGTGACAATTGTGTTATGCATATACTCTCATGCCTCTGATGAAGACTGTAAAGTTCAGTTGGTTGTATGTGTATATGGCACATAGACAGAACACATGTGCTGGGAACCCGTGACTGGCTGTAACTTCCTGGTATGTGCCTACATATTTAGCAAATTCATTTTTTTTAATTGATTTTAATTCGTTTTGCTACATCAAACATTAAAACAAACGAAAGAAACATACATAACACATACACACAAAAAAGAAATACATAAAAAAGAGAAATAATAATAAAGAAAACAAAAGAAAAAACATCTCCTAACATAAGATACCAACAAATTAGGTTACATTTACTAAATAACACACAACACTAATTGACTTCCCTTCATCTCGGTTTCAGAATATATTATATGATTTTTTATCTGCAGTTTCTTTTCCTTAAAAAACTCTTTA